GAACAGGTTTGCCAAGGTAGGAGAACAGCCCCTATGTGGAGAAGGTGTTCTGGCAGATCTGGTGGGTGTTGAGTGGTGCCATGTTCCGTGGAGCAGAAGGATATGATGAATGTGTGGCTCACCATGAGGTTAACCACATCTTGGGCTGTATATCTGAGGAGAGTGGCCAGCAAATTACAGGGGATTATATCTCATCTGCTCAGTGCAAGGGAGACCCAGCTGGATGCTGAGTCCTGTTTTGGGGCCACCTGGCCAATAGGGGTGTAGAAAAACTGAAGTGGGTTCAGAGTAGATTACAGAGAGAGGCAGAAGCCTAGAGCTGTCCTGAGACAATGAGAGGGCCAACAAAGTAATACAGTCAATGTAAATGACTTTGTAAAGTGTTATTATTGTAATCTTCTCCATTAATTCAGCTGTTCCCAAGCTAGGAGCTGTGGCCCTAAATGTGGCTGTGTTTATTGTGTAAATGTGTAAATATGTAAATGTGTTTACATTTATTGACGTAAATTGTTTACATCAATACAGTTTCATCCAATATTTTCTCAAATTTTTTGTACTGTGTTAAAGTATGGGTGCATAGGAATCCTGTATGTGTGGAGCCTCTGGGTTTCTTCTTCTCTCTGGGGTCACTGACTGCTTCTCCCTGCTTCTTTTTACACCACAGGACATCTTCACAGTAGACGAGACCATCCCCATGTCCTTCCGCAGCTGGCTCAACTGTTTCATGGGTATCATTAGCACACTGCTCATGATCGCCTTGGCCACCCCATTCTTCCTTGTTGTTATTGTTCCCTTGGGCATCTTCTACTACTTTGTGCTGGTGAGTAGCTGGGGCTGGAGAGCAGCTCTTGCCCTGCCTGGGGCAGTGTCCCTGTCACTGCTGGGCTTTGTGTTGGTAACCGAGCTGTCCCCTCATTTCAGCGCTTCTACATTTCCACGTCACGCCAGCTGCGGCGCCTGGACTCCGTCACCAGGTCTCCCATCTACTCCCACTTTGGTGAGACAGTGTCAGGCCTTTCTGTCATCCGGGCCTATGGACATCAACAGCGGTTCCTGCAGCAAAACGAGAAGACAATGGACATCAACCAAAAAACTGTTCACTCCTGGATAGTCTCAAATAGGTGAGTTTGCTCCTTATGCCACAGCACTCCGCATCCAGGTCCTGGGAGAGGTTCTGGAGATGCTAAAGTCTTCCTTCATAATCACAGAGTCATAGAATCATTTGAGTTGGAAGGGACACTTAAAGGTCATCTAGTCTAACTCTGCTGCAATGAACAGGGACACCTACAGCTCAATCAGGATGTGCTTCGAGGGTTTGTGTAGGAATTGGGAGAGCTTTGGATAGGGCCACCATCTGTGGAAGGAGGCTTTTTAGGGTGATTTTGAAAGCTCCTATGAAGTATCCAGAGCCTAGTTGGAGTGAGCTGTGCAGTCAAGGGTGGATCCTGGGAAGATGCCAATGCTCCAGGCCACGTAGATGTGTGATGTGGGCATTGCCTGGTTCTGGCATATGGTGCTGAGTTCGACACTGGTGAGATGCTGGTCTCACTGGTTGGCCCTGTGCTGGAGCTGTGCTCTCCTGTTGCAGATGGCTGGCCATCCGCCTGGAGTTTGTTGGGAGCCTGGTGGTCTTCTTCTCTGCACTTCTGGCTGTGATTTCAAAAAACTCTTTGGAAGGCGGCATTGTGGGTCTCTCAGTCTCCTCTGCCCTCAACGTGAGTCAATGAAAGTTTCTTCTGTTAAGTTCTTGGGCTGATGGCTCTGGGCTGGCTGCATGATGCTGCCCCACGTTCATCTGTAGTGTGTGGAGAGGGGATTAGCTGGAGTGTCTGATGGAGAGAGTGATCACCTGGGGACTGAAGCCAGGGGAACACGCATCCACATGTAATGAGGATGTTTGTTGCTGTGGGGCGGAGCATGTTTTTGATGAACTCTCAACACAAGGTGGTTGTTCATGGGTCCCACTGAGCTCTGTGGCTCTGCCTTGCAGGTGACCCAGACACTGAACTGGCTGGTGCGGGTGTCTTCGGAGCTGGAGACAAATATTGTGGCTGTAGAGCGGGTGCACGAATACACGAAGGTCAAGAGAGAGGTGAGGAGAGCAGGGTGTGGGCCAACACCTGCTGCACAGCTTGGTGCAGCCCTCTAACCTTCCTGTGCCCCCAGGCTCCATGGGTGACAGACAAGCGCCCACCCCATGGCTGGCCCAGCAAAGGCGAGATCCAGTTTGTGGATTACAAAGTTCGGTACCGACCTGAACTGGAACTGGTTCTTCAGGGGATCACCTGCAATATTGGGAGTACTGAGAAGGTGAGGACCTTTCTGCCTGCACTGCACCCTTTCTTTGTGGCTTGGAGAAGGCTCACCAAGTGAAAATGAGTGTGCTCACTCAGTTATTTCCAGCCCTGTTAGGTGGTCTAAACATCTGCTTCCACAGATTGGAGTTGTGGGCCGGACGGGGGCTGGAAAATCCTCCCTCACCAACTGCCTCTTCCGTGTCCTGGAGGCTGCTGGGGGAAAGATCATCATTGATGGGTTGGACATAGCGACCATTGGCTTGCACGACCTGCGCCAGAACCTCACCATCATCCCCCAGGTGAGCCGATTCCAGCTTTTCTGCACCCCGTATCTTCACAGCTCTGCCCTGGGCATGCCATGGCCCTTAGCACTCCTCTGGGTGCTGCAGGGATCCCACCCCGAGCACCCTTCATCATCACCACCTCCCTGTCCAGGGGCAGGCTGCAGGGCAAGCATTTAGCCCTGCTGAATAGCCACGATAGAGGCAAACACTCTGTGCTGTCCCTGGCAGGACCCTGTGCTCTTCACTGGCACCCTGCGGATGAACCTGGACCCCTTTGACCAGTACACTGATGAGGAGGTGTGGAAGGCCCTCGAGCTGGCTCACCTGAAGCCATATGTGCAAGAACTTCCTGAAAGGCTGCAACACATCGTGAGCGAGGGAGGGGAGAACCTGAGGTGAGCAAAGGAACTGAAGCATGCTTTGCTCCCTACCCTTGTCCTGGGCCTAGGAGGGGGCTGCAGTGGGGTGAGGGGCTGAGACAGGCACCCTCTGTTTACCTGGTAACTCACATCCCCCACTTCCTCCCAGTGTTGGGCAGAGACAGCTCGTGTGTCTGGCCCGGGCCCTTCTACGCAAAGCCAAGATCCTCATCCTGGACGAAGCAACAGCAGCTGTGGATCTGGAAACTGATCACTTAATCCAGACAACAATCCGGAGTGCTTTTGCTGACTGCACTGTCCTGACCATCGCCCATCGTCTCCACACCATCATGGACAGCAACAGGTACCATAGGGCACAGGAATGGGGCTCAGGGCTCCTGGGGTGGGGAGAGGTGGCCAGTAGCAGATGCAAGGATGCAGCCAGAGGTACAAGAGTGGTTGCAATGCCCAGAACAGCAATGCCTCTAGGGGGGGGAGTAATGTTTTTGGGACCCTCTACAGCAGTAGGCTGCAGAGGGATTCTTGACACCAAACACATTTCACCATCCAGCACAGAGATGAGAACTGTGTGTTCACTGAGAGGTGGACTGCCTAGTGTAGAAGGAACACGTGTCGGTGGGGCTGTAGTGCTGGTGCTAGTAGCACTAACAACTTTGACTGTTGGAGCTCAGGTGTTTTCTTCATTGCTCACTGCCAGGGTGATGGTGATGCACGCAGGGAAGATTGTGGAATTTGACAGTCCCGAGAAGCTGCTTCAGAAGCAGAGCATCTTCTCTGCAATGGCAAAGGATGCCGGCATCACAAACACAGAAACCACCACGCTGTAGGTGGAGTAGAACAGCATGCAGCTTGCGTGTGAGCAGCTCCCTCCTGCTGGGACTCACCAACCCAGCACCTGGATCTCCCTGCAGCTGGACTGCCCAAGACTTTGTCTCTACAGCTGTGAAGTGAAGGGGAGAGAGTGACTTCTCTGGCTGGCAGGGGCAGAAGATAGGGACTTGAGCCGTTACCCACTGCTACACCCTGCCAGCTGTGCACATGAGGATCTCAAGCTATACAACTTATGGAGAAGAAAGTTATGTCAGGCAGGGAGACCATGAACCCCCCAAGGGGTCCAAGTTTTTGTACTTTGTTATGCCAGGAGAACCTAGCAGAGAGATGCTGTAGCACTACTGAATGCAATTTGCAGTATAATCCAAGTGAATGTTATAATTTATTTACCTCTTGTAACTGTTTCTACTCTTCCTACTAAAAGTCTGATTTTAAGGTATGCTAAATAAGCCTCAGTTCAGCTTTAAGCCTGACCGTCATTTGGAGGAAGGTGGTACAGAGGTTATGCAAATAAACGTTGGGGGAGGTCCAAATCAAGTGGTACAGATGGACCCATGCCTCTGCCCCAGCCATGAACTGTGGGAGTGGACGTGGAGGAACCTTCTCAGTGGCTGCAGCTGCCCTTGACTGCAATGCAAATGAACAAGGCAGTCGCTGAGGCTGTACAGAGTTACTGGGGCATGCCACATAAGCACAGAAGTGTGGGCACATATGCACGATACACCAACATGTACACACATACCACACACATAATACATACTGGTTATCACTGACAAACACTTGACCCTTTGATCTTGGGCATCATGCCAAGAGCTGCAGCACTGATGGAGACTGTGTGCATGCTATGTACCTGCATGGACAGAGTATAGCAAAACCCTTCCCAGTAGCTGGTGGCAGGAAGGATGCAAACCACCCACAACCCAGCTGTGTCATGTAACACAGCAGCCAGAGAGGGCAGTGCAATCTATCTTGGTTTAGAGGGAGGTATTCCTGCCTATAGCAGAGAGGTTGGAACTAGATGATCTTAAAGCTCCCTTCTAATTCAAACCATTCTACGATTCCATGATCTTCATGAGGACACCACCAAAACATAAAAGGCCCTACAGGATCCACATGAAGACTGTGAGCTTTGCCCTCAGCCTCCTCACACACCAAGCCAGGCACACACCAAGCATTCCCCATCTCTACCCCAACACTTGCACAGGTTCTTCCTATGTACAAGGGCAAACCTTTATTTATGGAGCAGCAGTACAGGGGATACAAACACTGCCCAAAGGAGAAAGGAGCTTCCTTCCTTCAGGTCATGGCAGCAGCACATAAGACCACATAAGACCACCCCTGCAAAGGGCACAGCATCCCTCCCAGAACATAAGCACCATCTCCAGTGCTCTGCAGCATGCACAGGTAAGGCACTCCTGGTCAGAGCCCGCAGAAATGAGGCTGCAGGACAGCCAGTGCTTTGCCTTTTGTCTTGCTCCAGAGGAGCCAAGACGGGGTCCTGGACACAGTATGGAGACATGGCAAGATGGTGTTCAGAACCTAAGCTGGTCCAGGAGGGAAGTGCCTAATGGCTGCTGCTAGCAATAGAGCTTAGAGGCACCCCAGCTCAGCTCCAGGAGACCAAGCACATGGACACAGTACTCCATGGGTGCTCCTGGAGGCTGGGTTCACTGTGGAGCTGAACCACTCACAGCAATCCTCAGAGCAGCTTCCTCTGGCCAGAACAGATATCCCCAATCTGGGGTCCTGCACAAACAAGGCAGGACCTGCTGCTGCTAAGGCACAGACAACATGTTCACAAGGCTCTAGGCTGCTTTTAACACTGTGTGGCTAAGGATGGCCTCAGCAACAGTCCTCCACAATTTAAATCCACAGTAGCTCCTCAGCATTGGTCTAGCCATTCCCCCTTGGATCACAGCCCCACTCTGCTCCTAGCTGGAGGATGAAACAGCACAGGGTGACAGCAGCTGGCCCCTGCCCTTAAGCAAAGTGCCTGCTCTGCCAGCCCACTTTTCTTCTTTCCTCATACACAGCCTCATCCCCTTGGGGCAAGCAGTGGAGGCAATGGGCCCCCGGCAGTCCTGGTAGGCACAAGGCACAGAGTGGGGCCTCCTGCCCCCCCAACCTCACGTGTATTCCGTTTTCCGGATGTAGCTGGAGGGCACGTAGCCCTGCTTGCCGTGTGCCTCGGCCAGCCACCACTCCTGATTGCCAGTGATGTCTTCAAACTGCAGGATCCTGAGTCTCTGGTTAGCTGACACACTCAGCTCATTCGTGTTTCGGCCTTTGAAGGTGTAGAGAGCGTAATAGACCTGCTGGGCAAAGGGAGGTGTCAGTCGGACAGGCACTCAGCATGTGCTACATGGCACAGGTTGAGCACTGAGATTTGCTGAAAACCAAGACTCGGTGCTGAGTTTTGGCTTGTGTACCCAAAGAGCAGCAGACCCAGCCCAGTCTCTGCCAGAGCTGTCCCTATCTGTTCACCTCCACTCACAGCCTTGTTCTATGCAAATCTCATTGAGACAGACAAGTCTCTGCCTCATACTTCTCTACCTGGTCATGCCTGCAGAGGATGACTCGGCCTCTACACAAGTGAGGGTCTCAGCCCTCACACCCCAAGCCCCAGCTACCTCAGGGCTCACCTGGTTGCCTTCTGACTCGCTGCTCTCGAGCCCAGAGTCCCTGTCCTCCACCAAGGATGCAGACCTAAGATGTGCTTTGGTGGGGTGCCCATTGCGAGGGCTGGGGCTGTAGCCTGGCTCAGGTCGGCTGTAGCGGTGTGGAGATGTCACCACTCCGGCCTCCAGTGGGACTGTCCTGTCACCAGAGCTTGGAGAGTCCATCTCCGAGGGGGACTGTGGAGAGTGGCACAGCTCTCCCAGTGAAGCAGAGTCCTGGGAGGGTTTATGAGCGAAGGCCACGGCCGCCCTGCTGGGGCTGAAGGTCAGTGTGGTGACGCTCTGGGGAGAAGAGCTGCTATGCTCAGACTCATTGGAAGAGTGACTGCCTACTGAGACATCCGACTGGCTGCGGCGCGGGTTGTAGGGCTTCAGAAAGGAGCTGTACACAAAACCTTTGGTCACTGCAGAGAGGGAGAGAAAAGGAGCTCACATCAAAGATCAGGAGAACCAGAGGAGAGATGCAGCAAGCACCAAAGGCAGAGAGCAGCTACATACCCCCATTGTCTATGAGCCAGCGATTCTGGCTGCCCATGGGGTCCTTCTTCTTGATGACTCCCACAATGTCTCCCTCCAGCAGTGAGACATCCAGGTCTTGGGCAGCATTGAAATTGCGATCTGCCTGGAAGAGACTATCAGGGGGATAGCGGGCCAGGAGGGCTGCTCGGATGTCATCTGACTGCAAGACGTAGCTGGGCTGCAGAGGAATAAAGCAAGTGTGAGTGGTTGTTCCAGCATACCAGTGAGCCCTGACATGGGGTACACATGTGACTCACCAAAGCACCCAGTGGCTGCCGCCGGGCAGACTGACGCTCCACGGTCTTTCTCTCAAAAGGCTTCCTGGGAACTGCCTGTGACTCTGGAAAGAAGGTGAAGGCCTGGAGCTGCTGAAGGACTCGACTGTGCTCTTCCTGGAAGATGGCAATGAGGTTCCCCTCCCGGCCAGATGTCTTCAGCAACTGGAACCAGAGCAGGACCACAGCAGTTAGGTGAAAGCTGCTGGTGAATGTACCTATCACGCCAGTGCCCCACCAGACAAACCCTGTGCAGAGATCAGCACTGCACTGAGCCTGGAGTGCTGGCTGTGATCCAGGAACCCACCGACAGCAGAGGTCTCAGCTCCTCCAGGGCCAGGCGCACGAAGTCACAGTGCGCCTCAGCATAGCCCCGCACACAGCTGGCAAACAGCTCCTTGGCAAAGCACAAGAACTTGGGCAACTCGTCCAGCAGCTGGGCATTGAGGGCCTCATAGTTGTTGCGGGCTGACTGCAGCTCCTCCAGTGTTCGCTTGTCCTTCAGCTTCTCTGCTCGCTCCGTGCAGTTGTGGAAGTCAAGGAGCTTGTCAAAGCGTTTCTGCACCAGCTTGTGGGGCCCTACAAACATGCTCAGCAGCTGGTTCAGGGGTGAAATCACCAGCCGCTCTGTCCGCTCTTTCTGGTGGGTACAGATGCAGGGAGAAGATGAGATTAGGTGCTCTTTTCTGTCAAGCTGAAAACACCAGCAGCCCACCCTCTGGTACATAACTTCTCCAGAACAGAACAGTGTCCATATTCCAATAGCATCCCACAAGAGCTCTAGAGGTCCTTTCCAATATGCATTACAGACGTGCCAGCACAGTAAATACTACAGGAAGGACCTAAAGGTTCTAAAGGTATGGCTGAAGACAAATATGTATCTAACAGATATGCTCAAGGCACAACCAAAACCCACAGCCACCAAAGCTTCAGGAGGCAAGAGATGAGTAGGGGTGCTTGCACCTCTCCCAGGCTGTGTCACTTGCACAGCCAATCATGGGTGAGAGGGCCCCAGGGGGTGCAGGCAACACACAAGGACACAGGCTCACTCACAAAGTTGGAGAACAGCTGGTCACTGATGAGTCGGTTCACTTTCTGGAACTGGTCCAGGTCCCCGCTGCCCTTCTCCATGCACAGGTCCCACATGCTGACTGCTGCTAGTGCCTTCATGCAGGCCGACTCCTGCACCAGGGACAAGCAGTCAGCACACCATGCTGCCCAGGAGAACAGAGCTCCCAGAGCAGGCTCAAGCTTCTAGGGCAGCCCAGACCTCCAGAGGCCAATACCCAGACAGGGCTGAGGGCAGAAGCACTGGTAAGCGGCATCATATCAAGACTCACCCGAACATGCTGCAGGTAGAGCGAAAGGTCCCTGATGAAGGACTTGATCAGTCGCTCCTGCATCCGGAAATTTTTCTCTGTTTCCTCAAAGGCTTCATCCTTCAGCTGTGAGAGAAAAATGCTCAAGGGAGGCAACGCAGGACTCTGCTACCACCCAGAGTGTGAGATGTGGGGCCTCTTGCCCACAAGCCAGGAAGCAGAGGCAGGTGGTTCAGACCCTAAGCTCACTGCCTTGCTGACCTGAATAAGAACTACCCATCAAGAAAGGGATGTGGGGAGCCAGCATGTACTACCACCTCCTCAAACATCATGGGGTGTAAGTGCACTTGGTAGCTGATGCACATTACCTGGGGTGCAAAGCCTGTGAGATGTTTGAGGTGGCTGCTCACACGGTTGGATTTCTTGATGATAGAGTGGAAGTTGAGCTTGGAGATCTTCTCCATGAGGCTATCCTCATCCCCTTTCCGGTACTTAAGCACTACAGAAATTGATGTAGAAATTAGAAAACTTACCAGCACAGCATCTGTGTCTTACAGTGCCTCATCAACACTTGCCTTGCTGGCTCTTCCCTAAGCCTCTGTAATCCCACGTGTTCCATGTATCACATTAGTATTGTTCTGTATTGTATCATATCATATATCAACTCAAAATCCAGCACTGGACCACCTGTAATTCCCCTACTTGGCTCTGGATATGTCACACATTTTGCGGATGCAACGTTCAAACTTTTTCACATTTTTCGCATTATGTGTAGCACCAGTGTAAGATGACATTTTTTCTCTCTGTTCAGTCTCAGGGAAGCTGCGGTTAAGACTCTCTGTCTAGCTTGGGTTCCCCAGTTCAAAAAGGATATGGAAAAACTAGAGCTCATGATCTACAGGGAGAGCTCACATCCTGGGCCATTCCAGCCAACAGCTCTGTAATTCTGTTCCTGTCTACAGATACACCTTCAAACTCATTGTCCATATCTCAGTAAGACAGAGACTACCCTGATAGACTGATTCCCTACTTGTATTCTTCAAAATTCAATTTTCAACATTAAACAGACATTGTTTTGTCTTATCCTTTTTTGTTCTAGTCTAATAGTACTCAGCAATTGCATGCATTTCATATCACTGTATCACAAGAAATATCTCCTGTCACATGCGTACCGCATTATCCTCTATGTATTGTGTTCCATGTGTAGCTTTTTAAATGCAGTTCTACTACACTGCTGCTCAGATCAGAATAGACTGGGGACAGATTCCCTTCATGCTTGTGCAGCTGACAGACTCCACTGTCAACACACTCACTCCCCAGCTCCTCACCAAGGTCCTTCCGGCGCTTGTACTCATTGATGTTGACATTAATTTCTTTGACTGCAAGAACAGCAGCTGTGAGTGGTGCCTTGTCAGGGTGAGATTCAGGGGTGGCACTCAGCAGTTCCATCAGCAGCAGGGGGTACCGCATCACCCTCTGTACTGGCTTGATGAGGAATGAGCCCAGATTAATGTAGTTTGTGCAGCCCCTGGGAAGTTGGGACAAAGAAGATGCACCAGATTTCAGTTCAACTCTATCATGCAAAGTCTGACACCTTGAACCAACCCCAACCACACCCAGAGGACCAGCATGTCCAAATCTACTGTACTTCCTAAGTCAGGCCACCCTCATCTCCAAACCCGCAGCACTCTCACACCCCTAGTGACCTCAGTCAGCCCCAGGTTTCCAGATCTTGCTCATACCAGGTTATCCTTCCCAGCCAGGATCCTCTCCATTACCACACCCCCTGTGAAATCCCACATAGGCACAGCCTAAAAGGTACCAAAGCTCCACTTGCCTCAGACTGTCCCATCATCTGACTGCCAGACCTGACCTGCAGTGTAGGGCAGACTGACCATGCTCAACTCTGCAGCCAGCACAGGGCTCTCCTGCCTCTTTGGGGCTGATGACTCCCCAAACCAGTTTTCAGCCCAAGATCCCCTCTCCTCACCATCTGCCTGTATAGCCCAAGCAGCACTGGTGGGGCACTCAGACATGCACCAAGCTGGTGGTAGGAGGTCAGTCACAAGGGAGCAGCCAGGCCAAGACAGATAAGCACGGACTAACAAGAAGGAAGAACTTACCACTCACTGTACAGACTCCTGACGGCCCACAGAGTGCCAAAAAGCAAAGAAAAGCAACAGGTTAATAGTGTGGTAGGCGTGCATTCCCACAGCCAGCACTCTTGCCCCCTCCTGCAGTGAAACTGCCGTGGCAGCCCTGTCATGCCCAGAGCCATGGCAATCTCTGAGCCAGGCAAAGTGGCTTGTTCCTTTGCTGGTCATGGTGACAAAGGACTTGGGAAACAGGAACTCTCAATCCAGGACATGCCACCTTCTCCATACTTCAGTGGCCCTACAGGTGTAGGCCCAGCACATGTGACCTGTGGGGCAGCAGGCTATCACTGAAACAAAAGCCCTTTTCATTTGAACCTGGAGCCTTGTCACCTACAGTGACATAGCCAGTCCCAGTTCTGTCACCAACTGAACTGTCTGAGCACTGCTGCAGAGCAGCAGGGATGCTGGAGAGTGAACCCTCTAACCCAGCTTGGTGGCCACCACAGTCAGAGGTTCCAACCTGAGGTTATCCAGCAGGTCCACGAGTAGCTTCTGGATCTTCTCATCCTTCTCATATGTTTCCAGCAGTGCAATGGCCTCGTCGTGGTTCTGGCAATACACCCTGTAAACGCTCTCCAGCTCTGCACGCTGTGCCAGGAACACCGGCCCTGCATACAGCAGCAAAAGTAGGATTTCAGTGTTTCCAGTACTCCTGTTGCTTCCAACAGTGATGGCGCATTCATGGCAAGACGCCTCATGACTCCCTACCACACCCAGAGCTTGAGAGGACAGTGCTAACAGAGCACTCAGGGTGGATGCCTCCCTGACACACTCTGCATGCTCACATACTCTTCATGCTTCCCTGTCACTGCAGGCTGAGTAGTGGGGGCAGGAGGGAAAAGAAATGGGAACGGTGCATGAAAGGTCTGCTGAGGCTGAAGCCTGTTACGAAAACTCACCAGGACATGTTCGCTCAAACTTTGAGGGGACAGTTTAACTTAGCTGAAGAGCCCCATAGGAGCTCCAGAAGTGACCAGCAGAGACACCTCAAATGTTCTAGTTTTCCAGGAGATGACTGATCACTGGCAGTGAAAGCCACGGGGACAGCAAAGGCACAAGCTGCTCTGGAGCTGAGCAGTGAAAGCTGGCAGTGCAGGTGTGAGGAGGGCGGTTCGCTTTCAGGAAGGAGCCAGGGAAAGTTTATAGACAACATGTGTTTCTCAGCACAGTGACACAGCTTTGCTGCTGGGCTGATGAGCACTGACAGGGACCAAGGGGGAGGAAACTCTCTCATCTATCATTTAAATTGCCCTGTTCTGCCACCCCACTAGCAAATCTCATCCCAGTTGCTGAGAAAAGGCAACAGAAAAGTTCATACCAATGGAATCTGAAGCCTCCAAGGTCGACAGCAGTTGCTTAGAGAAGCTAATTACCACTTGGATGTTTCCAAAAAGACCCTCAAAGTCTACATTCAGAACCTGGAGAAAAAGAAGAGAGAAGTCTCGGATGGGAGAGCATGTCCCAACCAGACACGATAGCATCTCTCCCTTGTCCCCCTGCAACCTTCAATCAGTCCTTTGCTCCCCAGAAGCCACTCACCACAAAATGCTCCCAGCACATTGACTTCTGTATTCTCTCCCTCATTCTGCTGCACACTGAAACTTTTACTCCTTATGCGTCCTACCAAACGCAGTGTCCTCTACTTTCCCAGCAATTTCATCCAAGGGAGTGTCAGATCATCTGACACTCCCTTTCTTCCCATCAAATCCAACACCACACCAAGATCCTGTATCTTCTTTTTCCAGGCAATGAAATTAATCCACAAACCAAACAAACAGGAACAACAGTTCCCAACCTAGGAAATGAATCTGTGACACTTGCTGCTAGGTTTCTTGCTCTCAGCAGAATCCCAAAATTGATGGGTTATTTCTATGACTGCAAGGAACAGTGAAAAACACCCTGCTGCTCCTAGAGCAGCTGAATGTCCCCTGTGGGCTTCAAGAACAAAGCAGACTGTATCTTTACTCCACCCCACCAGCACCACCTCATAGCCTTCCCCCACACTCCTACCTGTGCCTGCTGAAGGGGCACCATGATCCTTTCTACACACATCTCCAGGTCTCGGATGTAGTCCCTCTCTGTCTGGAGCAGTTCCTCAATAACCTTGGATCTCTTCTCCAACATCCTGTGCTCTGGGCTCTCAGTGACAGATGAGGATGTCTCCAGGGGTGGTGTCTGAGAGGACAGGAGGGTCATCTCTGCAAGACAGACAAGCAAGATCAGCATCCTCCAGTAACATCTGACCCAACTCTTGCATGGCAAGAACAGGAGGCATGTAGCACCTCTGAGATGACCAAACATGATGGTCAGAGAGCAGAGCCAGCAGGACTGTTCCCACAGCCTGCCTTAATTATCAGTACCGGTACACTGCTCTGGGGCCTCACAGTACCGAGTGCTGCAGGACAAGGACAACTTGCAGTCAGGTCCTCTCTGCCCCAAGCCTCAGAGTACCAGGAGCCAGAGCTGCCTCCTGCTCATTGTGTTAATCCAAATACACCCCAGCCACTTCCCTGCTGCTCCCGACAGACACAAAAACCTGCTGCAGGTTCTGAGTCCACCCAGGTCCCAACACCCTGATGCTCACCGCTCCTACCCAACCCCTAACCCACTGCCCTCCCACCCCTAGCAGAGGAGCTCCCCACCTGCACCCTGGCTATGGCTGCTGTCCCCTCCCTTGGGGCTGGGAACAGGGTCTCCATTCTCTAGCTCCGGGGCATTTCCATCTGAATAGCTGAAAAGGCCTCCAGGCACCCACAATGGGGCTGCAGGCAGCAAAGCCTGGAGCTGGAGTGCGACCAGAAGGGCTGTGTGGGGCTCAGGAAGCCATTGCTGGCAGCCATGAGGCTCAAAAGTGGAGTGCAAGCGATCAGGACCAGCATGACCAGTATCTGGCTCCGGGCCTGAGCCCTGGCGAAGCTGTGGGCAGTGGGCAGGCAGTGAGAGCACACACAGGGGCAGAGGCATGGGGTGGCTGCGTGCATCCCGCACTGACAGCAGTGTTACCAGGCCTGGGAGAACCCTGTTTCCCCAGCACAGCTCAGGAACAGCCCCAGGCTGGAGCCACCGTGCCCTTGCAACAGCCTCTGGCAAACCGCTGCAGGCAGTGCAGTGCAGGGAGCCCTGCCACAGGCTTGAGGCATTCTCGCGGCTCTACACCCTCATCCTCTCTGTCCCAGAGCCGGGCTGCTGGCTTTCCTCCTGGTTTTCTGTCCCACCTGCAGCTCCTCGGCCAGCCCAGCCCCCTCTTGTTTTCATTCAGGTTCAGAGACATTTTATCCCAGCAGATTCCTGGGCCCCAGCAACTTTCTGCTCCACCTGCCTGCTGCTGAAAGCATGTGCCCTCTGGCCCGAAACACAGCACCAGTTCCCCACGTTCAGCCACACAGCCCCCATGTTCAGCCACACAGCTGTCCCAGACAGGCTCTGACCCATGAACCCAGCTCCCCCTGCACTGCACTGCTGTTTTGCACAGCTGGTACCTGCTTGCAGCACACCCATCCTGTGATTTTAGGCTAGTGGCCGATGTGACAAATGCCCATCAACTCCCACACATCCCCAGCTGCTCTGTGTCACAGGGATTTTATCAGTCGTGGGCAGACCCCCCCCAACTCTGATATTTGTACAAATATTTTTGCAGGATTTTACATTTACTGTTTGCATTTGCACAGCATTTGTAAAGCCACAGTTACAGACCAGGCCCTGTCTGCAGGGTCCTCTACAAACACAACAGGGATGTGCTGCCCCAGACACAGTGCCTGCAGGCAGAATAGGATAGAAGATGGAAAAAAAGGAACAGAAGGGACAAAGAAATGCTCAGATAATGGGGTCTGCAGCTAGCAGCTCCCGAAGAGCAATGAAACAGAAATGGAAGTCAGTTATGTTAGATGTTTGTTCATTCAAGAAGTGTCATTTGTTTGGTAGGAAAGCACATTCAAGTGGAAGAGCAACATGGAAGAAGCAGGAAGGTGGTAATTTGAATGTAAAACAGGCGAGTGAAACCCAGGGCAGGTGGGGTGTGAGCTGATACTGCCCTGACCGAGCTGACAAAGCACAAAGGGTTGCCCAGGAAGTTGTGAAAAGGACTGTATTCAACAACAGCCTGTGCAGCAGACAAACAAATCAGTGAGCTGCAGAGTGAAGGGAGCCACAAATATCAAACCCTGCTCCTGGGAAACATTAAATTTGATTCAAGATTAAATGGGAAAGATTAAATTTACCACAGCCAAATATCTGAACTGTGCATTTATCCACATGCAAAATGAAAATGACCCAGATGAAACTTCATGCAAGACGTCCCAGACTTCACTGATTGCCAAACAATCCTGCTGTGCACTCAGCCACAGCCATCTGGTGGCTGCAGGAGACTGTGACTGCAGGGAAGCCCCTACTTACCCCAAACAGGTCCCTGGATCCTTAGTGTTGGCATTCCCAGCAGCTCAGTGCTGCCCAGCTCAGCTCTGGCTCTGTGGGGCTGGGCACCAGGCACAGCACACAGCACTCAGCCCTGCTCCAACCAGGGAAATTCCCCTTTGCACTCACGCCCTGCTCTGGTTCCAGCTCAGAGAGAGGAGATCCCTGGCCATGCAGCTGCTTCACACACACTGTCCAGCAAACCCTGGGCAAGTCCAAGAGCACCCCGGGGCAAGTGCCTGAAGCTCAAGACTTCCAGCTCTGACACTTTCCTGTGCAAGTCTCAAATCCCCCTTTGGGAGAGGGAAGGGAAAACCTTCCCTGCCCAAGTTTTTAGCATATAATGGCCATCAAAGCGGCCTGCCTGATTTGGCAAAGCTGTCTGCCAGATCCACCCACTTACACTGTCAGTGTTTCCATTATTTTGCCTGTGATTTCTGAACACTCAAATTAATTCCCCTCTGGCTTTCTTGCTCTGAATATTTCAAGACACTGAAAAACACAGTGATGCTGCAGCCAGCTCTCCAATAACCCTTGCTTTGATCCAGCAACCTTCTCCAGCCACAAACTCAGAATGCTATCCCACTTATTTAAACTCAGAGCTCAGACTCAAAACACAGAATGTGTTTTTAATACTTTACACTTCCACCACATCTGTACTTCTTACAACCTGTTCCTGACATTTAAAAACTCTCCCTTTTGTATTTCAGACCATTTCTGTTGACTGCCACCCAGTTCTTTTTTTCCTGCTTGTTTCACATTTCTGTATGTCTAATTGCAGCACTCCATAAATGAATCTCATTCAGCATTTAACTAAACATACATTCTTTCACAAATGTGGTTTTTGGTCACCTAATAAATGTTTTTTAAACAGATCCCCGTTTCACCCCACAGATGCTCCGTTTGGACGTTACCTCCCTGCCCAAGCCACCAGTGCTGGAGGCCCTTACACACCACAGCTGGACTGATCCCCGTTAGTTTGCAGGAATGCAACTGGTATTTCTAATGAAGCCACCAAATTCCAATCCAGTGACCAATTCATGTTTACCCATGACACAGATGCCGAAAGAGCGTTCAGAAATACTCTTCCAAACACACTGTTCTCAACTACAATTCTTAGAGACTCAAGTCCTGCTCATTTGAATCTGCTGCCGGAGCTCTGCAATCTGTATTCCTACATTTAAATCTCTAACAACTTTTTTTCTCTTCCCTTTGGTGCTTTTGTGGCACGTTAATTCTGCACTGCTTTGACATGCATTGCTGGTCTCCCACCAGAGCTGCTGTTGCTGACACATGGGAGGCCCAACACCAATGCTGGAGAACAGGCCGCGAGGTGCAGAGGTGGAGCAAACTCCCACCTCACCCTGCCCATGGAGCCCATGATTTTAATACTGCAATCACACTGCTCACACTGCTCAGCTCAGAAGCTCAATCAACAATCTTCCAATCAGCAAAAACAGCCAGTATTTGCAACCCCAGCTGTGAGTGCACACACAGCTAGAGCTGTTTACCCTGCTTCACTCTGGGAGTTGATCCATGTACACCAGACCCAACAGGATTCACGTCCATCACGCGCTTCTCATCGGGGCTCACCTGCCAGCATCCCTTGTCACACCGTGCTCCCACTGCTAACCCAGTCCAAGGAGGGCCGTGCTGTCCATCAGCTGCTGCAACTGGAGCTGGCTCTGCCCCGGATTCCTTCAGAAGGAAGGTGACTCAGAAAGCAACAAAGAAGGGCCAGCTCCCAGGCCAAGCTCAATGAGCACAAATGCTGAGGACAAGCCCTGTGCAGCCTCACTCAGCACAAGCCTCTGATTTTGTGCCTGCAAGAAAGGTCCAGCCTTGGGCTCACAGCTCAGCACAGCCAAGCAGTGACTAAGGACAAAACAAACCAGCTGCAAATATTTGAAGTATGTGGATGCTGGGAGGGGAGGGGTTACTGCCTAGCAGGAGGAGAAGGGATGAAACTAGGGCGGGGAATAATTAATCTGAGGGAAAGGCTAAGCTCCCTGCCAGGAGCAGGATCTGGCTGGGGTGAAAATTCAGTCTGAATTTAGATAGTAAGCCCATAACAGAATATATCCACTGCTCTGAAAGCAAGAGACTAAATATCTTGAGTATTTCACTTCTCCCTGGGACCAGTGACAGAAATCCAATACCTTAAGGATGAGCTGAAGAGGAACAGACTGGGGCACTTCTCCATGGCTACCAGGACTCATCTAAAAGTTGCCTCACCTGAAACCCACTGGTTCCCTCTGAGGCCCTCTGGTGAAGGTGGAACTGCAGCAAAGTACATGCCTGTCCTTGGCAGAGAAAGGGCTCACGAAGATGCTCGCTGGCAGTCAGGTGAGGAGCCCTGGGAGGGATTTGCCCACCTTCCTGGGAGAGCCCCCCTCTCAGCTACCCTTAAGGCAGATGGGATACACATGCCTCCTGTCTGTACTCCTCTACCATTCACTCCAATGCTGAACAGAGCATCAATAAAAATGATTATGAAAAAAAATACCAGCAGAAAAAAAAAGAATGGAAAGTGAAAGGCCTTTAAAGGGATATTTTAAGCAGATAATCCAAACACTGTTACACAATCAAGGAACAGAACAATAGCGATGGGTCTGCACTTCAGCAAAAGCAGCAAATGTAAACAGATACATGAATGAATATAGAAAAACAGACAATAGACAATAAACACCACGAACTGTTAAAAAATGAAAAATGAGAAGGAAGATATAAAAAAAGATTAGCAGAAATAAGAATTCAAGTTTTAGTATCAAATGGGGGAAAAAAGTGCAACTTTGTAATTCAATTTTATTTCCACTCCAGACAAGTGAAAGCCTTTCAATGAATCCCACTAGTAAGGGGAGAGAGTAGAATTCTTGGTAAGTTTGATGAAAAAGGCAGAATTATATGGTGAATGTTCTGTCTCTTCCCATTTGAAAAGCAGAAGACCCTGCAAATTAGCATCTGAAACTTGCCTGTGGACAACATCTAAAAAAGGAGGGCACTTCCAATGAGATTCTACAGGGACTGTATTTAAAGTTGGTCCCACATAATATTTTCAAAGTAAATGGAAAAACCACTGCTGTTCTGTAGAGAACTGAACATCGATTTTGTATGATGACAAATAAGGATGCTGCACACTAATCACTAACAAAGCCAAGGTATTCTGACAAGACAGAATTACTCACACCAACAAGCTTAATGCAGAAAAAAAATAACATCAACTAAAAAGCTCCTGTTTAGCAGATAAAGGTTGGGCATTGAAAGCTGAAAGGCAACACATCAGCATGCAAAACATTCTAGAGTGAGGATGAGTATGCAGAACCACCACAACAGGAGGGGTCTCTCCTTGGAGCAGTGGGCATCTGAATCTTATCTCAGCGATGCTTTAACCAAAGAGCTCTCTCACTATGCTGCACTGCAGAGTTCCCCCCGCCCAGCTGGGAGTTATCTGGTTGTTTCCAGATGCAGCCCCTGCAGGCAGCCCCCACCCCATTCTGAGCCTCCCAGAGCTCTGCTCCCAGGCTCTCCTAGCTTCCCCGCTGCCCTTTGAACATCCTGGCACCACAAAACCGCTCCCTTGCCCTGAGGACGAGACTGAGCAAAGTCCCACCTACCAACACAGTGCAGCCTCTGGAGCCTGCTGAATAAATACCTCGAGAGAACATTTCACTGTAAGCTGATAGCCAGCCACAGCCTGCAGCCCCGCTGCCCGGGTGGCTGCTGCACTGCCATGCTGTACTCTGCACTCCAACCTTCTCCAAGGGCAGAACATGCATGGGTGCCTCAGGCAGATGCTGGCAGAAAGTGTAGAGCTGCAAACAGGTCTTCAGACACACATTTGCCCAACGCAAAGGGCTCCTTCACTCATTCCACTCAGACCCCACCACCTTGCAAAGAGAGGCCTAACCCCACACAGTTGTGTGCGTTCCCAGGCTTTCCTGGGGGACCCTGCTGCCTCAGCACTAGGGCAGGGTTAAGGAATGCCCAAGGCACCAACACCTCCCAAGCATTTCTCTGCATACCTTGCTTCTCCTTCCTGGTCTGTACAAATTCTGAGCGCCGCAGGGTGCTGGGAGCCGTCCTCCTGTACAAACTGTTTCTCTGCAGTGAAGAGCCTGTCCTGCTTTCTTCCTTGGCATCCTGCTCCCAGATGTGGCTCCAGTCTGGCCGGCCTGTGCGGACCCTCGAGTGCTCGGCTCCTTCTGGTTCCCCACGGCCATTGCAGCCTACATCCTGTATCCCCGACTGTCTGCAGTAGGGGTCTGACCCCACGTTGGTGCTGCTGTCTCCTAAGGACCAGGATGTCAACAAGTGAGCTCCATGACCTCCAGATGGAGCACTGTAGTCCATGGCACGACCTTTCAGCTGCTTGTGCTGCTCAAAATCTCCATGATTCTCCAGATCCCTGATGTTTACGTACTGCCTTTCCTGCTCTCTAAATTCCTCAGAGCCTCCAACCTCTCTATGCCACTTTTTTCTTTCCCTACGTATTTGATAATCTTCATCTTCTCTATACTGCCCTCCCCTTCCCTCATATCCCCTGTCCTGCCTACATTGCCTTTCCCTTTCCTCACAGTATCTTCCATCCCCATTACAGTCTCTAGGACCTCTGTCCTTATGCCACCTTCTGCCTTCCCCATACTCTCCAGGGCCTCCGCCCTCTCTGCACCTCCTTCCCTTCTCCCTGCCCTTCTCAGGTCCTCTGTCCCCTCTGTACCGCTCTTCTCCCACCTCAGTATTGCAGTCTCTGTATTGAACAGCCTCTCTGTCATTCACCCCACAGTTTCTGTCCTCTGTAAATGGGCTTTTGCCTTTCCAAACGCTGTCTGCTCTCCTGTAGTCCATATACTGGTTATCTGTCTTCCAAAAGCCTTCACAGTCTCCGTTCATGCTACATCCATCCACAGAGATGCCCTCCCCTCTCCTGTCACTGTTCCAGCCTCTGTCTGTTCCCCTCTGCACCCTGGGTCTCTCATTCCAGCGACTCTCACTGTGCAGGCCTGCGATGTCCCGTCTCCTCACAGCACAATCTTCATATTCCCAGCTAAGGAGCCGGGACTCCCGCCTTGGGTTTTCTGTGCCATGTTCTGTCCCAGGATAGGAGCACATCGTCCTGCTGGGATGCAGCTCCCTTTGCTCCTGCTCCCCGAACCCACACCGGGGCTGACGCCTCTTCTCTCTCTGCTCTGGCGCTTCCTTCCCAGGTGCAACGCAACGCAGGCAGCGCTTCCTGAAACCAGCCAGCAAAGGTAGGAAGAGGCTCGTGCCCAATCGGCGCCAGCCCCAGCCTCCTCCACCTGCTGCCCAAGCTAATCAGTAACCAGTTAGGAGTAGGCTCACACCGCCCAAACCGGCTCCACTGCTTTGGCAGAGCCCGCAGCCTCCCTGTGCGCCACTCCGAGGCAAGGAAAAAGGAGAGCAATGGGGCATGAGGAGGCTGTGCCCTAAGACCAACATCCCCAGGGAAGGGAAAGGTGCGTGTGAGACTGTGGAGAGCCACAGAGCAGATAGCGGGTACCAGATCTCCTTCCCTTGCCTCCACATTCCTGCAAGTTCCAGCAGGCAGCATGCAGCCTAAACACCATAGCCTGGCTGAGGCTGGGCTCTGCTCCATGCCTCCTGAGAGAAACCGAAGCCCTCAGGCTTTGTTTCTAACCTGGTGCTGAGCCATCCTTCTTCCAGTCCTCACCCACAGCCCCTGGGAAGAGCAGAAGGCAGGCAGCACTGGGGCAGAGCCAAAGAACAGGCCTGCAGGGACGGTCTGGGTTATCTCCAACACACAACAGGAGCTTCCAGGAGACCAAAGAAACCTGCCTTCTGGTAACTCCTTGTACTACAGGATTCAGCATATCCCCAGTTTTCCATATCCCAAATACAAAACTGAAAAAGCAAGAGGTGATCACAATGTGCCCTAGACAGAGAGGAGAGTCCATGGATGTCACCCACATCCCAGCTTCCTGCAGCTTTGTTAGTTATGCACAATTTATGTTCCATACTCCCAGCTCGGAGAAGGCAAAAATAAACCCAACAGACCCTCTTGGTCCAAGTGCCGGAGGATGAGCACTAATCCTGTGCTGGTCTGGTCTTCAGCACAACTGCCGGTGTACATGCAAGACATGATTAAGAAGGAACCTGCAGATTTTAAACACATTCTAGAAAAACACATACTTTCTGCTTTTCCTTTGACACACAGAGGAGTTGGGTTTCTCCAAAGGTTACTCCAGCCCTACTTTGTGCCTTCAGGTAGGGCATTTATTTTCTATAGGATCAGAGAAGCTACTTTCAAACCCTCAGGTCTCTTGAAGGGGTGAAAAATCTTCTGGGACTACCATGGAGCCAACTCAATGGGCAGGATGTCCCTGCCAGCATGTTAGTTCCTGCCTAAAACTTTCAGTTCAAATAACCAACAGAGCTTGGGTTCAGCAGGACTTCCCTCTGTCAGGAAGCAATGGGACAGAGGAGACATTTCCCAGAAAGATCCGTCCCACCAGAAAATTTCCCAGAGATACATCCTAGATTTGCCTTTTCCTAGCTTCAAACCTCATATCTTCTAAGCATCCCTCTTGCACTCCACTGATGTGGAGGCTGCGGGTCACCCTGTGCACTGATGTCATCCTTCATTCCCACATGCTCTGCATCAGACATGATCCTGAATCAGAGTGCCTGGACTCCACAGTGCTGATTAAGTGGTGGGAGGCTGGAGGCAATGAAGTCAGAGTGAGTAATTCCAAGGCAGGAGCTGGCATTTCACTCCACCTCCCGCATGCAGTGCCCACATTTCCTGCACATCGTGGGTTTTAGGAACAGAAGTGCACTGTAAGAGCTCCTTGGAGAAACTGGGGAAAAGGGACTGTGGGAGATGTATGTGGTCCTGCTTCCACTTTGTCTATTGTATTACCAAGTATAATGTAGTTAACAGCACTGATCTCAATATTATACAGCTTTTCAAAGCCCAAATGTGCCCATATAAACCAGACAACTCTCTCCCCCCAGAATAAAGCCAAATCATGATGATTTTCAGCACCAGAGCATTTACAAAAATACCCCAAATCAAGAATTAAAGAGAAGACTGATTCAAGTGGTGCCTGTACCTGGAGGGGCAGCTGTCCCAAAGATATCCTCTATTCCATGCTGCTGTACTCACCTCTCAGCTCCTGCAGCTCCACGCTGAGGCTCTCGATGTTGGAGTCACAGAAATCAAGGTTCTCCAGGGTCTCTGCTCTCACCAGCTCATCCTGCTGCTCCTCTAGCAGCAAGCTGAGCTCAGTGCGGGTCTTCCTGCAAGCCTCCAGGTCTCGCTCCACCTCTCCAATCCTCATCAGCAGGATGGAGCAGGGGGAAGTCGATCCTGTCCGTGTTGCATCCTCATGGCTTTCATCCGTATGCTGCTCTGCTACATTGGGCTGCAGTTGCGGAGGGACCATACTCCTCCTCTGAGTGCTTGATGGAGGCCGGGGAGCGGGCCGGGAGGGCTTCACTGAGAATGACAGAGATCGGCCTTTGGGCACAGGAGTTGTTGCAAGGGTGCTGGGTCGAGGAGGAGGTGGTCTCAGGGCCTTCCTCCTTTCTGGAAGCTTGGCATGGGGGACACACTCAGGAGACCCACGAACAATGTCCTTCTCAGAGCTATAGTCCAAGATAGAGAAGTGGCGGGAGACCTTGTCCTGCTCGGCACTGGTACTTGAAAGACTCTTCTCAAACTGCACCAGTTGCTCTGTCAGTTTGGAGTCAAGGTCTGTGCCACCGTGCCCCTGTGTTGCCAGTGAGGAGCATTCCCCCCAGCTCCCAGCCCATGCGTCCAGTCCTGTGTGGACACCTCCCCAGCTGGAAGAACAAGGTTTGGACTTTTGCTGGTTGTCCACCCAACCATCCAGGTCCTGAATGCTGCTCTGGTTCTCCTGGGGCTCTGATTCTGCCCAGCTGTTAGGAGGAGAAATGGCCTGGCTTCTGCAAATGTCTGGTGGGGAACAGGGAGCCTGTGGGGGCATGGTGGGTCCACTTCCATCATGCTCATGCAGGGCTGGAGGCTCCAATACACCTGCTTGGCCAAGCTTGCTGCTCTGCTGTGGAGACAGCTGAGTAGAAGGGAGAAGGCCATTGACCGTCTTTGTGCATTCAAAGGGGAGGGAATCTGCTGTGGTTTTGGGATGTAGTTCTTGGAGTCCTGTGTCAGGAAAGGCCTGACACTGCCTTAAATTAGTGCCCAAAGGAGCCTCAGATCTCCCTGCTATGTGGGATACAACAGCGTCAGGCTCAGGGTGTGCAACCAAACCATCCTTCTTGTCCCAGCTGTCTTTCTCTGGCAAAGGGAGAACTTCGGAGCAGGTGCTCTCCAAGTCTTGATGGACAGTCACTTCACAGCTGCCTCCAGCCTGGGAATCACCAGCACTCACCTTTTCCCTGCAAGAGTCAGAGGCTTCTAGTCTCACAAATCTGTGTGGGAAGATACCACGTTTCCCCCTCAGTTCCCCCTCTAGCCAGCCATCCTCCAGAATGCCCACAATCCGAATCCTGTCACCCACTTCAAAATCCAGTTCCTCAGACTCCAAGGCTTGGAACTGGTACAGGGCAACACCATAGGTGCTCCCTGGCTCCTGTCCTTTGTCCTCTCTGCCATCTTCCTCCTGCTTGGTGGGCACTGTCCCATTGGTGTCACAAGTCCCTGCAGGCTCTTGATCCTCTGAGGTTCCTGCTGCTCTCAGAGGAGTAAGCAGCTCCACAAAACCTTCTGGGAAAATGCCTTTGTGGCCTCGGAGCTCCCCCTCAAACCAACCAGGCTCTGGTATGCCAATGATGTTGATCACATCCCCTTCTCTGAAGTCCAGCTCCTCCTCCAGCTGAGCAGAAAGGCCCATCAAGGCCCGGGCTTGGCCCAGTGAGTAGGCAGGCACCTCCAGGAGAGAGCTGTGGGACAACTGACGGCTCCGAACTGAAAGGCACAACTCCCGCACACATGATGAAGGGAAAAAGCCCTTGGAACCCCAGCTGTTTCGGCCCTGGAGCCAGCTGGAGGCCAAAGAACCACCCAGGATCACCAGGTCTCCTGCAGGGAATGAGACACACCAGTTCAAAACTGCCCTTCTGATTGCTTCTCACCTCTTGTTCCTGCCTTCCTGTGGCCTACTGGCTATGGGTAAGGTCTGGCACTCCACACAAAGTGCAGTGTTCTGGGAGTGCACAAGAGCACAGACTGGAGGTGAGACATGAAGCATCAGCAGTCTCATGCATGCACATAACTAAGATTCATGGTTTTAGCTCCCTGACTTTCTAGTTGCTAAATAGTCAAGTTGCTTTTCAGATTGATTCCCTCCCACCCCCTCTCAAACACATGTCTAGGATTTGGGGATGGGAGGGCAGTTAAATGGTAGCTGTAGGCCTACCATAATCAAACAACTCTGGTATTTGGAGTTTCAAGGGTAACAGTAGATCACAAGGTGGCAGGAACACAAAAGTCCACATGCCATGGGGGTATCGGGATAGGCAGGATGCTGCAACTAGGCTCACCCTATGCTTCTGGAAGAAGGGGAGGAGGCTATGAGATGCAAAGCAAAGGAAGAGAATGGGGATTACCTCTCTGCAATGACAAGCTCCCTGGCTCTTGAGATGTGAAGTCACTGGTACAAACAAACAGCTTCTCTCCCTGCTTCAGAAGGGGAATATCCACTGATTCCACAAAGCTGCTAGGAAACTGCCCTGAAATGAGAAGCAGCTGTCAGCAATGAGTCCTTCCTGTAGCCCACCACAACTCCCTCCACCCTCCTTCCAGACCTTGGGATCTACTTTTCTTGCTAAAGGAATATGCTGCACCCACAGCTATCCAGAGACATCAGCAGCATGGAGGAATAGATCTAAGAGGCAGAAATTTCTGAGCTTTACATGCTAACAGAGAACAAAATGTCTTTGTCTCACTCCAGGCAACTGAGTTTCTGGGAACAGACATACCAGGTTTACTCCTCTTTCACTGCTTAGTTCCCCACTCATGGTCATGACAAGGTCTGGGATACAGTAGCACTAGACCACAACACCAGTGTCTTCTATAGGGCATGTTCACCTTGTGCTTCTCACTCTGTAAGGCTTGACCCCAGCACAGCCTCAGCACTGAAGTCAGGACACCAAACTTGGGAAGGCCAGACCTGTGATGCGGAGGCTCTGCCACAGCTCCAGCACTGCTAAGGCTGCAGAAACCTTCCCCATTTTAACACCTTATGCAGCTATTTCACCATGGCACCCGCTGCTGGATGCTCAGCTATGCTGAGCAGGCCACAGCCAGGCAGGGCCATGCATACTTGTTGGTCATTTGAAGACTTTACCCAGCTACTGATTTCAGTCCCAGGATCACTGGATATAGCAGAGCCCACTGCAAATGTCACTGCAATCTTTTACAATTCATTGCTGGGAGAAACGATGTGGGCCAGCAGCACTTCCAGCGTTCACTCATGATGTCTACTCATTATGATGGTTGCATTCTCTTTTAAAACTTGACGACATCATATTGAACGCACTCAGCACTTTCAACTGGGATTAGGCAGTTTCCCACCTGCTGTCATTAACCTGAGGTGGAAACAACAGCCCACAGGCTTCCAGTTTCAGTGGTTTCCTTTACAGTTTTAACCAACTCCTCCTCTTTTTTCCATGCCACAGTTTCCTGATCTGTACATGAAAACAACCTAAGAGTGTTAGGAAGGAAATAATGGAGCTACATTAATTATTCCCCACAGAGCATTAAGTATTATTATTGGTAGACTACAGCACTTCCACAGCTTCTACTAAAAAGTGCTTTTTCAATCCCCTGAAACTTTAGCTTAGAAAACTGGGCAGAAAACTATAACAGCTGTTCTAAGGAAAAGCAGGAATGCAAGCAGGGTTTGAGTTAAAGGTCACTAAAAACATGCAGTTTGGCTTCAGTGTGTTTCTTTATCTTTGAGCTATGATATACATCTGTTTGTTGTTCCTTTATAGCTTCACCTTCTTGAGAATGAGTGCATCAGTTACACTGGGAGAAATAACAGTGGTGAAGTAGCTGTTGGTGATTTCTGCAGAAGTAATTTGTACCCAGTAACTTCAGCAGCAGCAGGATTAGGCATGCACTCATTCAATGCCATTTATCAGCTAAGTGGAGCACAGGAGAAAATCCTTCCTCTCCACCTTTGCTCCTGTCCATCTTTATTTTACCCAGAGACAGGCGCCTGACAGCCCACAGCTGGCAGCGGAGCCCAGACTGCTGCTGCAAGGCAGCCCCATCTCCATGACCAGGGCTGGAAGTGCAGCATGCTGAGGAAGGAGTGGGGTTTATGCTTTGAAGTGGCCTGGTTTTCATCTCGCTGAAAGCTCACGTGTCTTCTCAGCATCAGTATAAAAATGAGAAACGGCTGTTTAAAACAGTACAAGACTTTCAGTGTTTCATTAAGAGCATTTTGCTGCTTCAGAAGTTTCTCACACTTATCCAAAAGTTTAACAGACTTGCACACTACTTAAGACACCCAGGTATTGATGGCAGCTTGTTTGGGAAAGCGTTTTAAAGTAGAAAGGAGGAAGCAGGACTGAGTCAGAGGGCTCCAAGGGGGACATGGAATCTCCAACTGACTTGACCTGACAAGGTCACTTGGCATTTCCATTCTCAGTGCATCTGTTTCCTCTCCCATTCCAGTGCCACAGCAGGTCAGCACGTAAACTAGCCAGGAAATGGGCCGTCCCACTATAGAGGATGCAGCTAGCACCTAGTGTTATGAAGCACAACACAACACTGATCTCTCAAAAAACAACTGAGCTGCTGGACTGTAGAGGTGCAGCTGACAGGAGATTGGTAGCAGGGAACCTGTATCCTCAGTCTCAAGTGAAGTCCAGTGAAAGATTTAATAAAATGCATGCTCCACTGGCAGAGAGAAGGAGAGGGAAGATGTCCAGAGCAGAAAACGTGGTCCACAGACCTAGATGTGGGCACTTCCAGCTCTTACCTGTGACGCCTTCCTTTTTGCCAAGCAGCCAGAACTCATCCACCACATCCAGCACCTCGATGACATCTCCCACAAAGAGGGGCAGCTCCTCAGAAACACTGGGACAGAAATCAAAGACTGCTCGTACCACAGAGCCAGTCTCCATCGTGTGGGGTCTGCAGGCAGATTGGGACCTACAGCTGAGACACAGTGCAGCAATTAGCATTAGCAACACCAAACATCTGAAATTACCACATTTCAGAAAGGGAAGCCCTTCTCAAATGTAAGAGGTAGGGATACTATGAGGGGGTCCTGTCCTGAGCTCACGAAACGCCTCCTTGTGCTTCAGACCTTGCTGCCACAGGAGTGGGGTTCTCCAGCAGTCCAACCTGCCTTGTGCAGCCTCTGCAGCTACCTCTACTGGGACTTGTTTGTGCTGTACCAGGGAGAGAAACTGCAAGAAAATCTGGGACTGAATTCTCGTCAGGAAGGAAGCGAGAGGAGAGGAGGAAGCTCTATGCTTCCCTGACGCCAGGGCAGACCCGGAGCCTGCTAGGGCCTCTGCGGGCAGGCAGCAGACATCACTGCTTGTCCAGTCTCTTCTGGAAGACTGGGCAAATGCAACCCCTTCCCATGTATACCGCTTGCCTGAGCTCCTGTCCCTGGAGCCACAGCTAGTGAAGAACGCAAGGCCCCCTCTGAAGCCCTGGGAACAAGCTGAAATTCCCTCCTCAGAGAGGACTTGAGGACTATATCTTGCACCCAGAAAGTCTGCCTCTTCCTTTAAAGCAGCTGCTGAGCCAAGACCCTGCTGCTGTCCTCCCACACCAGGGTGACAACACAGCAAGGCACACCGTGAGCAGGGCTGTACAGCCCTGTATGGTCCACCTGAGTCCTGGTGAGTCAGGAACACTTGCAAACACAGAGAAGAAACACAGCGCTGCTATGGAGGTACAGCAAACTTCCACCACAAGTGCCAGCAGGGGATCCAGCCAGGGAAACGCTTTCTGCTGACAAAATTGCCGTGTTTATCCAGTCCGACTCACCTCCTGGGAACAAAGAGGGTCTGTGCTCAGCAGAACCACATCCCTCCCGCACCAGCCATGCCCGCATTCTGCCACACTGCACCTCCGTTCCCAGCCTGGCACTCCTATGCTGCTCTACTCTGAGCACGTGAGCTCCTTGGGGCACGGGCTGCACTGCCACTGCCAGCACTGTGCTGGCTGAACAAACAAAGAGCCCAATATCCAGCCCCGACAGTGCTATGCCACCAAAAAGAGATGAATGGACTGGAGTGAATCAAGAGCACAAAGAGCTGCAGTTCAGGATAGCAGGAACCTACTGAGGCAGAAAGAGCAACAGTATTACAAACATGACCATGTGGAGTAGGGAAAAAGATGGAAGGGCCACGAATGAGTTTGGAAATGCTAAAGACAAGAAAGCAGCCTTGCAATGAGTTGCAGTGGCTATGGCACAAGGCTGAGCTCAGGATCCTAGAAATATCTGCCATGAGCTCTGGGGACAGTTTCAAACGAGAGAGGACTGAGAGGGGCAGGCACCAATGGGTTCTTTCACGCACCCATTAACTGCAGTTACAACGGAAACCAATTTAAAGACTGACACTAATCCACTTTCACATTGCAGCACTGACTTTGGAAAGAAGGGAGGGGACAGGATGCTTGCTAGGGGCCAGAGCCAGGAGTATACAAACTCTCCTATGAGACTGCAGGAGATTTCTGACAAGCCCATGCAGATCACTGATGAAAGTGGCCACTCCACTCTCACGCAAAAAATAACACATACTTTTTTGCACATTTGTCTCTAGAATTGCCTTGGGTACAGCACCAGATCAGTGCCTCACCAGCCAGATGGCAGGGAGCATAAACCCCTACAGCTGGAGCTACTGAGGAACATATTGCAGCCCACTGAAAGTCCAAAGCTGGCACCTGGAGATGGTCCTCTTCTAGCAAAGGTCTGTGAAATATCTCTGAAAACAAGCCTGTTTGCTCTTCTTTTCTGTTTGAGACCAGATGTGTTTGAGATCAGTCTTGGGGGTTGCTCATTCCATAACACGATTAGAACACAAAATATTATGTTTTCCACGGTGTTGGCACTGTCTTACTCCACAGACTGCTGACTGACATTTTCTCCAAATCCTTACCTAGAGAAGGAAGCCTCCCAGAATCTTCCAGACTGGTAACCTGCACAGCCCAGCTCCTCAGCTTCAATGGTGGACATGAGCTTCTCCCAGCTCCAGTCCAGGGCGGCCTGGTGAGAACAAACATCCAGCAGCAGTTTGGGCAGAGGCTCCCACAGGAAGAGCAGAGTGCAAGGAGAGACAGACTCCGCCTGAGATCCCAGTGAGTCACAGTCTGACTGCTGGCTGGGAGCCATCCCCTCTCACCTCCAGATGGTCAATCCCCCTGCCACAGGGAGGGATTGCCCTCCAAACCAAGCAAATGCTGGGGCTGCATCCTGGCAGAGGTCAGGGGTGCAGACTGCAGCAGAGCTGCAGCAGGACAGGATTGCTGCCTCCGCCTAGCAGCAGACCCACATCCAAAGACAGCCTCACCGTGCAAGTATGAAGCTGCAGCGCGGCAGCAAGCTCACCCCACTAAGAACACACTGTCTCTGTCTCGCTGCCTTATCCTGAGCACAGTAGGTAACATGTTCTTGGCGCCCTGACACTACAGTGCTGTGTAACGAGGCAAGGCGAATTCCCAGGGCATTAATCACCGCTCCCAGCCTCCCGCATGCAGCCTCAGCACACATCACCTTCGTGGAAGACAGCCCAGCCCTTCCCACCATTAGCTCTGGAGTATGTCTGGTCCAGAGTGGGCTGATGAAAGGACATACTAGAATGAAAGAGAGCCATTAGCTCAGTTACAAGATTGCTGTGAGACCTTCAGAGCAGACGGGATCATGCCACGCAGCCAAGAGGAGGCATTTACACACTGACTCAGACAACTTCTCCTCTCCCTCTTCCTTGTGGTTGGACAGGGTAGGAATCCTCAAATAAAGGGCCCACCAAGAAAACAGTGATTATTGTTGGGCGCTTGCTCAATGTACCAGCACATAGATGGAAGCAACTCTACTGAAGATGGTGATACAGATGCACTTTTTGACTCTTCAGTGGCAAGGATAAGTATATTGATTTCTGATGAATTTCCGTACCTTAGAAACAGGAGTTCTTTCTTCCCTGTTTTTGCTGAAAGATTCTGAAGGAAGGATTTCAGGCTCTTAGAAGGTAAGACAGCAACATGATTGACCACTGTAGGTTGATTACCAACAGTATTACAGCAAAAGAAGAGAGCATCAGCTTGGAGACAGCTAATCCAGCGGTATTCCCAAATTGCTGACCAGGTGATGAGATAAAAGCAATAAAAAAGCAAGAGAGCCCAACTTCTCAGACACTATGCCCACTTGTTCTCTACATAATACTTCTCAGCTTCTCGGACACAGTGCTGTCAGGGCTGGGTACAGGCAGCGCCTACAGCACAACTCACCAGTGCAGTAACCAAGAAATGAACATATCACCAAACAAAAGAAATGCAGTGCAGGCTTCCACATGCACAGGTGGTTTGCACAAGCGACAAGTATGTTCTTGTGCAGCAGATGTCTCAGTCTTTTAAAAACTGAGAGCTTGCCTAGCACTAAAGCAAGTAGGATTCTCATTCCAAAAAATGTAAGCCAAGTTTTGTCACAGAGCAATTAAAGAATATTAACAAATACCATTGCTGATCTTTTTTTTTTTTTTTTTTTTTTTTTAAGATAGTTGAAAACTGCCATGCATTTTACCTATGCTATTCCACACCCCTTCCTGCTCATCCAATGCTTCCTCCAACCCAATGCCAGCCTGTCCATGGAAGATGGAATTTACCCCCAGAAACAGAGATGCCCCTCTGCCTGCTCTGTACACTCCCCAGCTGCCAGTCTGGCTTCTGCAAGAGATCTGAGGTGTGCCCCATGGACAGGACATAGCTCACACGAGCACAACCGGACTGCACACGCAGGTCCCTGTCAGCCACAGCCACTCCCCCAGCATTGTGCAGAACACATTGCACTGTGAGTTGCCAGAGGTCCTTGCTTGCCTGCACATTCCTGGATGGGAGGAACAATACCCCATTGAGCAAGGCCTTGGAGATGGTGCCAATGCAGGGACTGAGGCAAACTGCTGAGCCAGCCCCACCAACCCCGACAGAACAGACAAGCAGGGCAAAGCGAGGCTTGGTGTTGCAGAGAAGAGTCTTCTGCCACCAGACGCAGGCTGACTGCTGCAGCCCCTTGTTAGGACATGCTGATCATTCTGCAGATCCTAAGGAGCCCCCGCTGAGCTGCACACAGTGGGAAACATGAGATCTCCTCTTACGTACTCCCATCTCCAAACACCATCTGGATCCCAAGAGGAAGCGGAATCTTCTCTTTTAAAAAAGGCTTCATTTCCTTTGTGACTTGACATCCAAAAATCATGACAATAAATACACTTATCATCAAGCCCTCCAGAACCAGAACTGCTGGGAAAAAAGGCTACTTAAGCAACCACTGACATCCCACACGTGGCAGCATTTGCCACAGGAGCTCTGCGCATACCACACAAGCCATTCAGACCACGTTTCCTCTCTCCAGCTGGACACTGGCTGTCACAGTGCTGTCACCTGCCCTTCAGCAGGACACAGCTCAGTGAAGGCTGGCAGGGTTCATGAGGCAGGAGTGGGCTGGGGAAGAAGGAAGGGGAGCTTGTGTTGGGCCAGATGGCAAGCAAATGAAAATCATCTGGAAACTGGAGCACATCATCAATTGTTAATGCAAAACAGAACACCTTGCCAAAACACGTGAGCAAGGACACTGTGATGGATACTTCATGCATAGCCTCATGGACCTAAGCATGCACACAGAAGGTCAGAACATCAGCTTAGGAGATAAGAGCTTCCCAAATCCTAGCCAGGCTGTACTGAGTGGCTGCACGCACCATTACCAAGCCCTGTCTTCTCTTACCCCAAAGCATACATTTGTCTCTCTTGCCATTGTGGCAAACAGACGACAATGATACAGCTTAAAATCAGAGCCATACAAAATCCCAACAGCGGCACTTGTGCTGGGCAATACCTGTGGCTGGGCTCCTGCAGGTAGGTAATGCACAATCACAAAATTAGAAACTGCATATTGAGTGCATATCCCAAACAGGTTGAACTGTTACATACAAAGACATTCCTCAACACTTGAGCACTCTGTACACTGATCAGTATTTCTCAATGCAGCTTGTTCAGCCTGGAGAAGGGAAGTGAGAATTCATTGTGGCCTTCCAGTACTTCCAGGGAGCTTACAGGCAGGAGGGGGACCAACTTACTACATAGTTTGATATTGATAAGGCAGGGGAAAACAGCTTTAAACAAGAGGAGAGATTTAGGTTAGATATTTGGAGGAAATTCTTTACTCGGAGGTGAGGCCTTGGCACTGCGTTCCAGAAAGCAGTGGGTACCCCATTCCTGGAGGTGCCCAAGGATAGGCTGGATGGGGCCCTGGCCCCTGATCTGGTGGGGGGCAACCAACCCACTGTAAAATGGGATAATTATAAGGTTACTTACAATCCAGCCATTCTGTGCTTCTATGATTTTGGGTAGAAGCTCCCTACAGTGCTTTGGCTGCTGGATAGGGAGTCCAGAAACATAGAACTCCTGCTTGAATTGGAAGCTTTGCTCTTTCTCCTCCCTTCACTCCTGTTCTGTGCTGCTTGTTATCTCCAGAGAAATTAAATTCCCTAGGAGAGACTCCGTTGATACTCGGTATCATGTGGACCTATGCCCTGCAGAGCCTCTTGGTGCTTCTGAGAAGGAAAAGTAAAAGATGTGTCAGCAGAGCTAGGGTTGAGCAATCGCTACAAGGTAATTAGGAAAATACTTTTAGGAAATTATCAGTTAATAGAGTGAAGTGCTAGGCAAAACTCCAGGTGCCCCACCTAGGCACGGATCACCACCTCTACAAAGTCCGTCAGAACAGCCACCCCCTGCACTAATACCACTGCTGCATGTTGAACTGAGATGCTGTGGGCAGCTACTGCACCTGGTACTCTGTGGGGATCACACCTTCCTGTCCTGTACTGCTCAGTTCCCCCTGCCAAGCTGTACATTGAAAGTTTTTCTATACGTTTCTGATGTCACTGCTAACCCTAAGTAGAACAGCAACAGAGTGGGCACCAGGCATTAGGGAAAGGGGCACAGAGAGAGGCTGGAGAGAGAACTGAAACTGTTGTCCTAGTTAGATCAGTGGATGTCAGGAAACAAACAGCAAAATAAGGCAGCTCAGAGATGTGAGCTTTAACTGCGCTACAGAAGGCTCTGAAAACACGCAGGACACATTTGAACACGAGGCCAAGCACGACTCACAGCCAGAGGAGTGAGTCAAGATGAGGGGGATGATGGTGACGTCTCTCAGCACAGTACAGAATTTGGCAAAGCTTCTGAAAAAAAAACCTACAAATTCTGCACCTACAAACTCTTCCAGGCCTTTTGTGAAGGTAACAACAGAACCGCAATGGAAGGAGAGGAGAAAATGGCAGAGGCCAGGGGCAAACAAGCTACTTTGGACAAAACTGAAAGTCATGGAAACACAAAAAGCCTGAAAACAGATGTTACTTGCAGTGTATTACACAACTTAAGGCTTCCTGGGCACTCCGCAAGGAGAATGAGATGTTTAAGGAGCACGCTGGGGGCAGTACTTCTAACAGCAAAAAGGCAGCAGGGCTCAAAGGCCGGACAGCACTGGGGACGGGATCAGCTGCGGCACTGCCGGAGGGTGAGCGCCAAAGCTGCACCTTCGGAAGCTGTTCAGAACGCAGCAAACGTCCATCCCCCGGTGAGGGCAGCAGCAGTTCACCTCTGCTCCAGTACGAGCAGTGTTGAGGGACAGGCGCTAATCGGAGAGAGAAGAAACTTCTCCCAGAAGATGCTCACGGAGGGACAGCCGGGGGAGGCACAGCTCCGGGGCTCCCCCTCTCCGTGTGGGACCACCAGGCTGCCCCTCACCGTGCCATCACCACTCCGGGAGCTGGAAACAGACAGCCCCGCGCTGTTCCCGCAGGGCCCGCCGTGCACGGGCACAGCTGCAGCCTTCCGAGCCGCGAGGCCGCTCCGCCAGAAGGCGCGGTGGGAACGACCCGCGTGGCCCGGCCGTGCCCACGCAGCCCGGGCGTCCCCAACGCCCCTCCGTGCCCCGGCTGGGAGGGCAATCCCGCCCCGGCAGCGGCACCGCGGGCAGCTCCGGTCGAGGGCCGGAGGAGCGGGCGCGGAGGCGCAGCGCGGTGCCGAGAGGCCGCGCGGGGGCCCGGCGGCGGCGCGGGCGGAGGGGCGCGCGGGGCGGGGGCGGCCGAGCGGGCGGCGCTCCGGGGGCGGCGGCCGGGCCGGGCCCGGCTCCCCACGGCGGGTCCCTACCTGCTCCCGGCCCGCTCCGGCCTCGCGGGTCCCGCTCCCTCCTCCGCCCCCACCTCCTCTCGGCCCCGCGGCCGAGCGCCCCGCCCGTCCCCGAGCCGGCCCGTCCCCCAGCGCCCGCCCGGTCTCGCAGGGCCCCGCCCGGCCCCGCGGCCCGCCCTCCTGCCTCTGCGCGGCGCGGCCCGCCGTGGGTGTGCGGAGAGGCCGCGGCCGGAGCCGTGCCCCCTCACGGGCGGCGGCGGAGCAGCGGGTCCGCGCGGCGTGCGGCCTCCGTTGTGTCGCCGGGGCACCGAGAGGGGGGAAAAACAACGCGCAGCCCCGCAGCCCGTGCTAGCAGGGGGTGTCTGCGCGGCGCGGAGGTCCGGCACCGCCGGGCCCTGGCTGCTTTCCCTGCTAGGCCAGAAAAAGCCTTCGTGTCCCATGGGTCCGCCACCACGCTGCGTGGCCTCACGTCCCAGGGCCGTTTGGCACCGTTTTGAGCGTTTGGCTACACTTCTCCATGGCAACCAGAGCGATCGCAGCTTGGCTGGCCGGCAGCAAGGAGCAGGGCTGTGAAAGTCGTGTCGGGCATGTACGAGCTCGGAGCTTGGCTGCCCGGCTGCTTCGTGGCTGCATAGCGCTGAGCTGCTGCAGGGTCCTGCTGCACGAGGACTGCGTGCTCTTCCCGCAGGTATTGCCCCTGTGTGTGCTCTGCTGCAGCTGAAGAATGGACACCAGCCCCTGCCAGGGAGTTGCACGCAAGGACATTGCGTGTGTGGTGTGAGAGTAGAAGGAGCTGCCACTGTGCAGTGCTCCTGGGCAGTTCTCAGTGGGACCAGTGTGAGACACGGAGGTGATCTGACCTGCATACTGTCAGTGAGGAGCTCGATGCAGCTCTGCAGTGTTCTCCAGAGTACAATAAAATGACCCCGCAGGTGTCTGTATTCACAGGGCCACGGGAGGAGCGCAGAATGGGGCTAACACACAGCCCTTTGCAGGCAGCAGCAGAATTAGTCTAAACTAATACATGCTAAGATAGAAATAACACCATCCAAATGAATCTTTTTCTGGAAACTAAGCCCAAACCCAGCCCCACATATCACAACAGACTCTGAAGCCTGAGAACCCCCAGCTTTTCCCACTAACTTCTGCACTAGGCTGTATGCAATTGGGCAGGGCCACGTCCCTCTTCTCCCTTTGCCTCTGCTCTTATATGGTGGCTCTGAGCTTTTCACTGCTATCCTCACTTCCAGCCAACCTTATCCTTGGCTTTGAGTCTGGTTTTGTTCCAACGTTCCAAGAAAAGCTACGCACTTAAAAAAGGCTTGTATATTTTTATCTGTGAGATGTGTCTCCCTGCATGCCTCCACTTCACAAACTGTTCTTCATACAATCACCATTTCTAGCTCTTTCATTTAACCTCAGTATTGCCAGAGGATTCATCCTCCCCATGCTCCTGCAGCCTCCTAGGTCAGTGCAGCAACCAGCCTACCTCTGTTGACATTGCCAGCAAAGGTGCCTCGCTCTTCCTGGAGTTCAGCTTTTTGTATTTTCCCTTTTTCTGCCTACTTTGCACCAGCCACATCACACACACCCAGATCACTCCAGCCACCCCACTGGGGCTGCTGCTCAAGCTAGGATCGTCACAGCCTTGCTTGCAGAAAACTGCCCCAAAAGGGTCAGGGTGGGGCAGTGCAGCCTGGAAGTAGGATGTGAAGTGAGAGAAGGAGGTCTGTGAACTGAAGTGTGTGTGAGTGTCTCAGAGAGGATGGGGAGGGACCAGCTCTGTAATACAGACCTGCCACCTGCCATCACCTTGGCTGCAGCCTCAAAGGACATGAAACTACTGCACTGCAGATGTTGTGTCCAAAGTTTTTAGTTTGTCCAATGTTTTTAGCTCCTTGCAACACTTAGGATGAAGTTCACGGCAAGCCTTGGAGAGGCGGGCCGGACAGAGAGCTGTCTCGGAAACATTTTGTAACCATGTTTTCACGTGGAGAGCTTGGCCAGGGCCAAGTGGAGCTTTACCAAAATGTTCAACACTGAAGTATTCAGAGCTGGGAGGAGAATGTGCTGGACAAATCCCAGGCTGAAGAAGAGGCTCTTTCACAACAAGGTTAAGTCTTGTAGGAACTGTTTCATAGGGTAAAAAGCTTTCCACAGAGCCTCTGGCTTCACCACTGTGCCAACAGCCCCCCAGCAGCCTGTGAGGTGAATGCTGTAGCCTCCTGTCCTGGCCCAGAGAAGAAATTGCCCTCCTTTGCCCATACACCAGAAAGCAAGGGGAAGTGGGTTGGTCTTACATTTTCTAGGACCACCAGAGGGCAACATGGGAGCACCCTGCAGCCAGCAACTTCTGTGACTGTGCTGGGTTGCTGATGGTGTGAAAAATTTAGAGAATTTGAATTCTCTAGATTTTATGAATGTGGAATTGGCCACCATCCCTGGCACACAGTGACCTGCGCAGACTGAAACCACTCACAGCCATGGCAACGTGTGCTACTGCTTCTGGCACTTCTCTGTAATAGCCTGAACAGATACCCTCTGAGGGATGGTTTGCCGTGCCTTTCTAAGAAATGCTGAGAGACAGTCTCTGTTAGCAGGCAGAGGTACAAGAGTGTGCGTACTGCTAGGGCTGAAAATGCCACCAGCAGCAGAGACAGGAGAGGATGTGATAGTGAGGACTTGGACCACGTCTTCTCTAACTGAGCTGCAGTCCACATGCACTGTACCTGCACAGTGCACTGCTGGTTGGTGTGCATCCACATTTCCCTCCATTGATGGACCCAAAATTCAGTTTGTCTCAAAGGAATGACAAACCACCTGTCCTGCACACCTTCCACTGCTCATCAGCTCTCACCTAGCTGTTCCTTGCTAAGACTAATAGCTTGTGTTGGCTGAAGCAAACCCTTCAGAGAGCCATCTGGTTTGGATCTGAAGCCGTAAGGAGTCAGGATAATCCACTGCCTTTGTTGGTGTGTACTGTTTCATCCTGTCTGACTATAAATAATCCCAATGAGCCACCAGGAAGTCCCATCTGCACGGCGAAGTAGATGTGACGTCACTCACCAGATGACCTTGGATCATCACGTCCCAGCAGTGCTGCATTCCTCCTTGTGGTGCTGCCACCCAGAATGAGTATTTGTCCAGCTGTGTTTGAAGCTGGACAAGTAACTGCTTTAAAACTATCCTTCTCCTAACTATAGACAACTGTCCTTACCTGAGGGTGAAGCTCACAGCATGGACAAGCCAGGATCCATGTGCCTGGATTGCAAGGGCAGAACTTGCTGCCTGGACTCATTATCTCTGCCATGCACCAGTGTCTGAACATCTCATGTGAGCTGCAGTGACCAGTCAGGAGCAAAGGGAGCAGAGCTCTCCTGGATGGCCTGAGGGCAGGAGAGCAGCTCCAGACACACTGCCCAAATGCATTCTGTTGAGAATTACTTCACAGCTTGCTCAGGGATTAAATAATTTCATATTTAATAACCTAATAGCTTGGGCTAGTTTAATGCTGGACTGATGGAAAGTTCACTGGCTGGAGTCTTCATCCAGGCCCTGTACAATGGCTTCCCTCCCTCTGCTCTCAGACAAATGTGTCATCCTCATCTCTGGGTCCCTCGGCGCACAGCTCTGGGCACTACCTTCTTCTGAAGGGTTTTGTTGTTTGTGCGTGTGCCTGAGGCTTTCCGCTCTGGGGCCTTTTTTACCACATCTTGTTTGAGCTGGAAATGCACCTGTAGAAAGGATAACACCACCCATGTAACAGTGCTGGCCCTGCAGGACCTGCACCTGCTGATGTCTTCCAATCTAGCTCTTGGCCAAGACACACATTGCTCAACTGGGGGCTCAATCAGTGTTGGGATACAATGGGAAATTGGTGCTATGAAAGGCAAGTGGTTGAGTGAGGCTTGTTCTTCATCTTTTCTCACCAGAGAGCGGAAAAATGCACTGCTTTGCATCTCTGTGAGTGTTTAGTACACAAAACAGCTTAGGACAAAACAGACCTTTTCAACTGCATCCCATTAGCTGAATCCTGCTTAATCAATCTTTCAGTAATGACTGTTTCTGGTAGCTCCAGGCAAAAAGAAAATCCAAGAGAGAAACTTCCATCCAATCAAAAAAGGATCAAACAAATGGCTGTGGGGTAGGGCTGGAACAAGGCAAACAAATCCCTTCATGGTAGGGAAGGGGCGGAGGTAAATGGGGACAGGTGGGCTGCAAAGTCAGACCACCAGGGAACAAAGCAGGTAATGTTGGGAAAGGAAAATCTGTTACAAAGGAGAACCAAAGAGCAGGGTGCTTAACCCAGCAAAACAAAGACCAGGACTGGGCTTGTCAGCTCTCTATAAATACATAGAGAAATAAATACCCGGGAAGAAGAGGAGCTATTTAAAGCACACTGTTGGCATGAGAACAAATAGGGATAAACTGACCATAAATAAATTTAGGCTGAAAATTAGAAGGTTTCTAATGCTGAGAAAAGAGCAGCACTGGAAGGACCTCAGAGGCTGGACAGGGTGGGATGAAGAGACAGAGAAAGGGGAGACCACTGCAGTGTAATTAAGGCAGAGCCTGACCAGTGCATGCACAGAGCACCAGACATTCCGGGATGCTGCAGCTGGGGGGCTCTCACCCATCCTCAGCAGAACCTGTGTCTGAGGCCCCATTCTGTTCCCAAGGCAAGGGTTCACCACCCACTGTTTTTATAACTTATTTCGGGTTGCACAGGCTGCTCTCAGGAGGGCCCTGTTGGAGAGCAGCCCCAGCTGGGCAGATGACATGGGAGCCAGTACAACAGCTCGGTGCAGCTGAGGCTGCCTGGTGAGGAAACGGGGGCACATGGCATTGCCTTCACCCTGGGAGCTGCTGGAGTCCTGTGTTTGACTCACCAGTGAAGGTGCAGCTGGGCCCACGGTAGCTGTCACCGTTTGAGGCTGGTAGCCCTCTGCTGAGGCTGTGATGGTGTAAGTGCCGGGCAGCAGCAGCCGGAAATAATCCCCCATCTCGCCTGGAACACAAGGTGAGAAGAAAAAGCTCTCAGGATGTGGAAAAATTCCAGCAGCACTCGCTCAGTGCCCATCCTTGAGGATGTGTGTCCTCCAAACCCCCAGCATTTTTTAGCCTTCTTTCTCAATCTGCTGGCAACGTGAGGCCAGATTTCTGCTGGCAGCCTGCAGGTGATGTCTCCCTAGAGCCATGCAGCAGAGGTCAGCCCACAATAAACACCAAATAACAGTGCATGACAGCATTGGCTGCACTGCTCTCGGCAGGGAGATGCAGATCTCACAGATCTCAGTATTGCTGGTCAGACAGGAGTAGGCCTAGGGGCATCCATGGCTCCAGTCTGACTCCTTGTGCAGAACACAACCCTTATTTCCCATCACATATAATTTGGCTGCATTTGGGTTACCAGCAGCTTTAATCTCCCATCAGATTGGCTGCTCCTCTGCTTGATTCTTTCCATGTAAGGAACCCCTGGGAGCACTTTGTGGTGCTTAGGGATGGGAGCTGACAACAGCAGGGAGCAGCATGTTATGGATCACTGAGAGAATCTGAGTATATGCCCATCTAGGGAACTGCATGTGCACTGCAAATCTGAGTCACGACTACAAGCAGCCTGTGTCATTTTGGCTGAGGTGGGCTCAGCCCGGTGGGGAGGAGGTGGAGGGGAACCTGCAGGAGAGCTGCAAGGATGACAGAGCCAAACTTCTGATACGATGGGCAGGTTCACAGAGGGCAGCTTGGGAGCTGCAGGGCACAGCAGCACCATATGAGGACTGGAGACCCACCAGAGGTGACGTCATGACTGATTCCCTGGACAGAAATCACTGCTCCTGCAATGCCATTGTTGTTCTCGTCAGTAACCATCCCTTTGATGCCCTGGTGAATCTGTAGGGAGGGAGACAGTGCTGGGTCAGTGCCCCTCTGATGCTCAGGAGGGCACTTCTGGGTGCTGGAGGAGGGCAGAGCTCTGCGAATGGCTCCACTTTTCCCCTTCCCTGGCTGTGCTGGCTTTCCCCACTCCAGCGCTCCCAGTGCCTGCTGCTCCCCTGCCATCTGAACTGCAGGAGAGGGGTGCAGGTCCCAGATCATCTCCTCACCTCTTCAATGAAGGCAACAAGAGCCTCCCGGTTGGCCATCCACTGCCTCTCCAGGTCCTCCTTGGGGGGGAATTTATTGCAGCTCAGCTCCAGGGTGATCTCAAAACAGTTGGTGTAGAGGTAATTGAAATCTTGCATGCCTGGAAGAGGAGAGCCGGTGGCCAGTGGAATGCAGTGTTCATCCCCATGTCCCAGCCCTTCTACCAGAATTGCCCCTCTCTCCTTTACAGCCCTAAGATGTCTTGCCAGCACTGCACCCCGCTACTGCCCTGCCCTACCTTTGCTGAGCGAGTACCAGGACGCCCCGTTGGTGATGCCATCGACGAAGTAGTCCCCACAGTTCCAGCCGCGGTGCATCCAGCCATGGGCATACGAGTATGTCTTGGCTAGCTGAAAAAGAGTGGCCAGGAGAAAGTGTATCAGGAAAGTTTGGGCAACTTGTGTTTCTGGCATCCTTTATGTCCTTCTCAAAGATTGCTGTTTATTTTTAGATATGAAGGCAGGGTTCAAATTCGGACAGTGGATCCAAAGCCTCTCCTCAAAGACAGTTTGAACAGCAACTGCTGTTTGAGTCTCCTAATGCACACTCTATACGTGATGGTATGGTTCAGATGCTGGCACAACCTCGTTCTGCCAGCAGCCCTGTTATTTCATTGCATTTCTGACTTTGGAGGCTGTGTGTGGATTGCTCGCCTCCTCCCCAGGCTGCAGCCCTGCTCCCATCATGTCCTGGCAAGCCCTGTACTTCCCAGGAGGGCTGAGCTCCAGCTCACGCTTATTTTTCTCATTAGCTGTTCTAACGCCTATTCTTGTGCTGGGTTTCTGTGTTTCCTAATGGAAGACTGAAGGCAGAGTTTTCTGGGACATTCAAACAATGGAGAAAAACCACAGGCACAACCAGTGCTGTTGGGACCAACATCCTGTCCTTACCTTCTGGAACAACTTATCGTCAGGGGTGGGTGTGTTGGCCGTGCGCCGGTGGCTCCGGAACCGCTGGTCTTGAGACTTATCATAGGGATAGTTGGCCACCACTGCGCCACCGTGCAGGTTGGCCGACAGCACAAAGTTGTAGCTGCCAATCCACTGGATCACGGCCAATGTCTCGGGTTCCACCTGGGAAGAGCAGAAGGGAAGAGCTGTGATGAGCATGTCAGTGCTGTAGGAGGATGCCGCAGTACTTGCAGTGTTGCAGGCTGATACCTGGCTCTTCCAGTTGTCGGGCAGTGGGATGTGGTGGTTGGGCCCGCTGATTTCCCCACTATAGTACATAAACGTGTTGAGGTCAGGGAAGTTGCGGTTCAAGTCCACACCATTGGCATTGTTTCTCCCCGTCAAGTACCCAATGCCATCTGGGCCCTGTGGGGCAAAGGGCATTGTAGGGGTGAGAATAGAGTGGGGCAGCACTGCCACAGCAAAGCAGACCCGCAGAAGCCCCCCATTTCGTAGGGTTTTTCTGCCCCTACCATCTGGAAGCAGCGCTCGCTTGCCTGGTACCTGGTTGGCAGCCACTTCGTACCCATCGGGGTTCATGGAAGGCATGATGTGGATGCGCGTGTCGTGCAGCAGTCGGGTGACCCGCTCACTGCCCCGCCGGTACTCCTCACATAGGAACTCTGAGAGCTGCAGCAGCAGTTCACGGCCCAGCACCTCATTCCCGTGCATGTTCCCCACGTACTTGAATTCCGGCTCCACTGGAGAGAGCAACACAGCAGTAGCACCATCAGATGGGGCTGGGGAGCCCCTTCACACTGCAGGGAGCCCAGGGGTCCCCCAGTGAATGGCATAAGATGGCCTCTTCCCTTGGAAAATGCAGAATTTAGTGAGGATGGCTGAATGGTCCTCATGTGGGCTGCTCTCTGTTTTGCCATAGCCCAGGTTCACCACTGGGCTGCTACTTGCCTCTGCAGTGAGCATGCAACCAGTGTTGGCAGAGTGAGAGATACTGGGAGAATTCACTTAAAAAAGAAGTCCAACTTTCACGTGAAAGGTACAGACAAAACAGGGCATTGGCAGGGGATCTTGTTGCACTGAGCTTTCAGCCACCAGCAGTGATTTCTGGGGTCTGTGACAATGTGGGAAAAAAAGTCACCTGCTCACTGGGTGCCTCCTGCTTCCAGACCCCAACAGTGCTTCAAGAACCCAGCCATGCTTGGAGAACTCTACATCTTCCCAACCCAACCACACTGCCAAAACCTAACAGTGCCTTCAGAACCCAACCACACTGCCAGATCCCAACTGTGCTCCAGAGCCCAATAATGCCTCCAAAACCCAACCAGCCTTCTAGAACCAACCATGCCTCCAGACCCCTACAATGCCTCCAGACCCCAATGATGTCTCCAAAACCCAACCATGCCTCCAGACCCCTACAATGCCTTCAGAACCCAACCATGATTCCAGAACACAACTATGCTTCCAGAACCCAACAGTGCTTTCTGAACCCAGCAGTACTTTCAGAAATCTCAGTGCCTCCAGACGTACTGAAGACAGATGCTAAAACAATCCTAGTTTTGGCACAAGGTGTTGCTTTTCCATATTTGTTGCCAGTGACCTTTGGACTGCCATGCCTCAGCGAAGGACATTACGGGTGGGCGATATGTGTTGACCTGGTTAGGTTTCAGGAGACTTGAGAACTGACTTAATTAGGTAATCCAGTTATTAAATCTATAAAAACATCTTGAGGTTATGTGCTGCCTTCATTTAAAAAAAGGTCTCAGCAGGGATTCCTCATCTGCCTTGAGTCTGAAGCAGGACTTGTCGGCCTTTCTTGATACACAGACCTCTAAGCATTATCCACACAGACACAGAAGCCTGAATTACTGCATATTAGCCAGCTGACTTAAAGTTTTCCTTTTCACAGTTACTTTCCATGGGCTTCAAAGGAGCCTGCAAAGTCTGAAAGACACTATACATGTGGAAGTACCCAGAAGCAGGGCCACAAGTCCATGCTGCTCTGAGAACTAGGAGCAGGTTGAGCTGAGCCTCTGCCTGGTGCCCTCCCGCAGCCCTCCCAGCTGCAATCCTATGGCTCTGCCAAAGCAAAGCCCGGCGGAGCATTATCAGAACTCTGGCAAAGGGACCACGCTGCCTGGATGCGTGAGCCCCCGCGCTGATGAGCAAGCAAAGGTTTGAGAAGACAAAAGATACTGCAAGAGGCAGGTAGAATCTTGCCCAGATCTCCGTGTGCTCCTGCTAAGGTGCAGCGGGGCCACTCGGCACCCGGTGCGTGCCCGGAGATCTGCGGGGGCCCAGCACCACCCCGTGCAGCCTGGACAAGGAAGGACTGCACTCCTCCCTCCCACCTCTGCCCGGTTTGGGGGCAGAACGGGGCAGGTGGGTGCTGGGACGAGCTCTCCTGCGTCATCCTGCACTTATAAACAGAACTGCGGCCAAAGTACGCGCCGGGGCCGCGTGTCCAAAGGCAGAGCTCCGGCACCGGGAGTCCCATCCCGACAGAGAGGCGGCTCCTGGCCGTGACTCGTGGTGCCGCGTGGCAGCGTTTAGCGCTGTCGGGGCCGCCCCGTCCCGGTCGCCGCGTCCCCGTACTTACGGGGTTCGTGAATGCCGGGGTAGTCGCTGAACTCCAGCACGTAGAGGTGGCGGCCCTCGACGCTGCGTCCGATGCTGTAGATGCGGGTGACGTACGGACACTCGCTCTGCACGCGAAACAGAGCCCGCACCATCTCTTCGTAGCGGTGGTGCAGGAAGCTGACGGCAGCCGCCACCTCGAGCAGGAGCAGGGTCCCGGCGAGCGGCCGCAGCCACCCCGCCATCGGCCCCCGGCTCCCTCCTCCCCGCCCGGAGCTAAAGTGCAAACTGGAACCAGCTCTTTCCAGTTCCCCCGCCAAGTGCCAGCCCCCTGCACCTGCGGGCGGGGGGCGGCGGGAGCGGGGGCAGGGATGCTTCTCCCGGCCGCCTGCTGCCGGCCCACTCTCCGCCGTCGGGGAAGCGGAGTGCGGCTCACTCATTAACCGGACGGCAAACAGGACCTCGCGCCCCGGGAGGCGGTAGCGCAGGGCTGGAAGCGGGCGGAGAGGAGCGGAGGCTCCGCGGGGCCGCTTCGCCGGGAGGGAGCGGGGTCCCCACGGGGGGGACGCGCCGTGACCGAGCCCCTGCGCGGGGGCAGAGCCGAGCGAGGCGGGGGCTTCACGGCACGGGCGGTTCCCCCCGGCCCCGCTCCAAACAGCGCTGCTCTCCTGCCCCATCTCCTGGGGAAGCGGCGGTGGCACCGCGTCGGCACGGCCCCGGCTAGCCCCGCACGCACGGCTGGGGCCGGGGATGGGGATGAGGACAGGAGTAAGGTCGGACTCTCGTACCTTTCTGCGCGAGCAGCAATCAGAGAGCAGCGCGAGGTGCGATGCCGCAGTACAGAGCTCTGCCATGCGAGGAGGAGGCACGATGATGCCCTCCGACATGCACCGGGCAGAAGAGAGCCCTAAGGCTTAAATGCAACTGAAAAAGTCTGGCTACGAACAGTTGCAGAGCTTTTCTGGATTTAGAGGAAGCCAGTTCTCCTTCACCTCTCTGCCACAAACGTTCTTGCCCAAGGGGTGTGCAGGCATCTATGCTGCTCTGCCCAGGGATGGACTCAGTGTTGCTAAAACACTCAAAACAGCAGCTTTGCTGCTCTGTCCGTGATAATAACAAGACATGCCTGCTCATAGCTTCAATGCAATCAGTGCAGGCTGGAAGGATAGTAGTTATCCTACTAATGCCTTCTTCCACTTAGTTCCATTCCACCACTTCCCTGTTTGCCATTCAGCCTCAGAGCAACGCACATCTAAGCATAGGATCAGCATCTCAGTGTCTTTTGTTATTTAATGCAAAATGGCCCTGGGGTTGCCAGCTCTTCCCTGTACTGATAGGAAGCCAAGGAGAAGCAGCAGAGACTGCGAAGCCATTGTAAGCAGGATATGGTGGGGCAGTGGCAGGCTGAGATATAAGGGTGCTGCCAGGGGACACATGGAAAAGTGCACACTTTCCTATGGAAATGGGTGACACTGACGTGGGGAACAAGAAAAAGAAATGGCAGAATGCTGGATCCTAAAAAGAGCTGTGAGCAAGATTTGGGGTGGGTGGAGAACACATCTTATGCATGATGGGTCTGGAGAATTAGTCAGCATTATCCATAACACAGGCATGGAGGCAGCCCACCACCAGGCAGCAGGTTTGAATCAAACAAAAGGAAATAGCTCTGCACATAATGCACAATGAAATTACCTCATCAAAGCTGAGAGTTCAATGAGAGCAAAAGGGAATGGGATGAAATCACGGGGAACATCCACAGGGCATCCGCAGCCTGGATAACTACACAGGGCCAGATGCAGGCATTTGATCACACATCCAACATATTAAAACACTGATGGAAGCAGAAACAAACAACATAGAACATAGAAACAGCACAGGAAGTAAACAAAGACATCATTTGGAAAATGCAGCAAATACATCTGGGACAAATCATACCCTCTCCCCAGATGTTCAAAGATGGAGCAACTTTGAAGCAGAAGGGGGAGCACAAGCAGGAATGTGCTGTGCCACACCAGAGAAGTGGAGATGAATGCAATTCCTTCATTCCAGCCCTTAACCCCATGCTCCTCTGCTTGTGCAGGTGACAGGATCCTGGCCTTGGACAGATCCCTTGTGGTGCCTGAGATTTCATTCTGGCCATCTTTTTACCAGAGAAGGGCTGGATAATGTGAGGAAAATTCAAGATAAGAGCTGTATGAGCAAAATGGGGAGAGTGCACACCGAAAGAAAAATGAGTGGTGACAAGCATGTTTGCCTTGGCTGGGCTGCAGCAGCATGCAGACAGAGCTGTGGCCCTGAAGCAAGAGGTACAGCATTGCATCCTTCACCTGTTTTGCAGGGATGATCATGAAAGCACAGAGCCAATGGTGCTGGGGTGAGAGAGAAGGATGGCAAGGACAGAGGAATGCAGGCCTGCATGGTGGGGGTGGACAAACTGCTTTGGGGAAGTCAGGATAAAATGAAGCCAAGAAAAGATGAGATTTTGGCACTAGGTGCCTTTCAGGAGCTGCCTGAAGGTAGGAAGGGACACAGTGCATTGCTATGCCAGGAGGGGATGCTGCCCCTCCAGCCACCAGGAGCTCCAGATCTGACACAGAAAAGCAGCAGGCAGCTGGCAGCAGAGGAAACCTCACCTCAAGACTTTTCCATCTTCTATGCCAAAAGCTTCATCCTACCCCTGGGTCAGTCCCATCTTCTGGAAAGCAGCCTGAGAGCATCACTGGCATGGATTAAGAAGTCTTTATTGTGATAAGGATACAGAGATCGGTGTGTGTATCAGAGTAAACTGAGACCCATTTCACCACGGTGAAGCTACATGAATTGCACAGCCGAGTGGCAGGGCACAGGGACTGCAAGTCCTCAGTCCATGCAGAGGGGAGAGCTGGCTGTGCTGGGTGAGGAATGAAGGGCAGAGTGGGCTGCTCCCTGCAAGAGGGATGGGAAAGCTGCATCCACCCAGCAGCTTTCTCTTCTCTCCCCCAGAATGTCACTGACAGTTTTGCCTCTGACCCAACCCTGAGGTGAATGGGAGAGAGCTTATGGATGTGGAAGTCATCAGTCCCAGAGGGGTCAGACTGCTCCTGTGCTCAGCCAAATGAGCAAGTCACCTGCAAGGAACCTTCCCAAACAGTACTGTTCAACATCCTAGCCCCCATGCCATGCCACTCACCCTGCAGCACCTCTCACGGCTCCTGGTGACAAAACACAGGGACAGGAGAGACCAGGGGCTGGGGTCTGGACAGCCCAGTATAGCTGAGTAGCATATAAATATATGCAAGACAAGAACATGTGGTGTTAAAATATGTTTTAACCCAGAAGAGCAAAACTGAACAGGAGCTAGGAGCTGGAAATTAAAGCCAGAGTCTAGCAAATTAGAAATAAGGCACAGATATTTATCAGAGAGGCAGATCAATTGTATTAAGAAATGATATGACATTACTAACACTGGACATATTTGGAAATTCCCCCCACTATCTTTCATAGTATTCACGGTGGATGAAGTCCTTGAGTGACTCTGGAACATACACTTGAGCCACACACTGCTGGGTCAGACACAGCACAGAAGCAAGGAAATTAACATTCATTAAATCTCATATCTGAACCAGGGTTTTGGGCAGCTTCCACAGACAGAGTCCTGCAACGGTGAGGAGGTTGTTGAGAAGAACCATGCCTTTTGCTGGGAAAGCTCAAGCACAGCCAGTGAGTGATATGGGTCTCGCCACAGTAGGATGCCCTTGGCCAACCTATTCCTGGAGCCTCAGCTTGCTTGGTGATTTAAATGGCACAGCTCGTATCCCTTCAGAAATACTAGTTCTGAGGATTATCTCATAAATGTATTCTAAAAGTTTTAAAAATAACATAGTTAATATATTGCATTTATCTCCTTTGGGGAATTTTACCTTTTGATTTGTTGCTGTTTTGTGAACAGAACAGAAAGAAGATAGGAGAAAGCCATAATACCAGGCAGTCACCTAACTCCAGAAGCAAAGGCTTACAATGGTAATACTGTAGTACCTGCAAGTAAAGATACAAAGCACTGCTGAAGCTTTTCCTCACAGGTTCTGTACTTCAGCTCCTTTCTTCTGGCATAAACCGTTAGCAGGGACCAGAACAGCAGACTGGCACAGGCTCTCTCCATGCCAGTTTCCACGTGGATTTTCTGCATCTGTTTCAGAAACTTCCTGATGGATCTGCCAGACAAAGCTAAGCAGCACTGGCAGCTGCCTGCTCCATGATGAGATCTCCTACCTTCTTACCCTGACCAAAGATTATTGTTAAATCTCATCTGTATACATGTCCTTGGTGAAAATGACAGAAAGAAGGCTCCATGTCTAGATGAATTCCCACATCTCTGTGTTTGCAAATAAAACAAACTGGAAAAAGAACAAACAGCATGGGGAAATGTCAGCTGTGGGTTGACCTCGATCACTTAGAGAAATGTTCTTAGAACAGTATGTGTTTCAGCAGAGCCACGCAGAAGGCAAAACGTCTCATGACAAAAGACTGATGTACATCACGAGACAGCAGCCATTCTGGATTGCCATGGTAGGAAAATAAGGCCAACTTGCAAGAGCTAAACTGAACAAAACAGCTCCTTATAAAACCTTAAGTGAACAGTCTGACCCTGAGTTATATGAATAGGAAAAAAAGTATAGATTAAGAGAACAGGGGGTATTACTTTTATATACAGTGTTAGGGCATCCACTACCACTTGCTGCTGAAACCTTCGGTGTCCCAAACTTCAGATGTACAAAATTGTATGGAAGTTGACTCAAGAGCTATACGTGAGTCAAGACAAAGCACTTAACAGAATGAAGGTCAATATTTAATATGATACTTCCAAGCTGACTTCCAAGCACCAACAAGGATAGAAGGGATTTTGATAGCAAAGAGTCAGTCTTTTTGAAACTGGCAGATCAAGGTCCATCAGAAGCTAAAGCCGGCTAATTCAGAGCAAAGAGACATTTTTTGAAAAAATGCCCTAACATCTTACCATAGGACAGGGTATATTTTCCCCTTTACCTTCAGTATGTCATGACTCCTACTTCCAGGCATGAACTAGAAATAAGGAAGGGACATTTTCCAGCCTGCACTGTGTAGAAGGACAAGCTGGGAAAGCACAAAAGCCCTGAGCTCTACATCTGTGTTTGCGTAAAGGAGGAAGCTTCATCCAGGTTGCATCTCCTGCTTTTCTTGCAGCTTTGCTCAGGGAAACAGGTAAAGGTGACTATGCCATGCCTTTCTCTCCACAGTATCTGCTTTCTTTTGGCCGCCAGCACGTATGTTTCATTAGGAGGTTTCTTAGATGACCTCCCAAGAAAACAGGTACAGTGATTTCCAATTGCCATAAAAATTGCTTGCTGACTTACCTCTCTGTTTCAGACCACAGAATAGGTAACAGAAGAAAGTGATTCATAAACCTGATCAGTGGCACCATCTAGTTGTGCGCTAGAAGATGGGCTGTGGTAAGTGCACTTATAGCACCTGGTGTTACTGTTTGGGGAGTAGCCTAAGCCATGAGGGAAAGAAAGGCAAATTTTCCTTGCTTTTGCTGC